AAATTGCCATTTTTCCTGTAGACATCATACCAGTAACATTTGCACTAACAACTTGCAATCACATGTATTTTCATCATTAAATTCTCTTAATCGACCCTGTATTTCTAAAATGGATTCTCTAGCAAGTTGTAACTCGTTGCTCTAGTCTCCTTTTCCTAGCCAAGCAGGCCGTCCTTAGCCTCATGAAAGATCAATTGCAGTCAAACATGGAACCAGTTGGAAATTGTCGAACAGACCATGTATTCCAAAAGGAAGTAAATTCACCAAGCACTTAAAAGTTAGCAGAACAAGAAAGGACACACATCGCACTACATTTAGTCTTGTTAAGTCACTACTAGACTGAAAATTATAAACTATTGTGCTATGTTAGCTTAATCTTTGCAATAAATTTAAGTTGTTTTGGCTTAAGTAAAAATAATCTTTTCAATTCATCAATTTGAACAGAGTCGTAAGATGAGATGGGCAGTGCAAGAATCGGTCGAACAATGGTTCCATTCAAGAACTTACTATATCCTTGTTATATCTATCCTCGGCTCTAACTTTCCTATGGTTTTCAGTGTAAAAGAAGTACCCAGTTAGCATCCAGAATCCCAGATCAAATATTCCTATTCATACATTAGCAATTATCTATCACTTCTGATATGTGGAAATAGTAAATTAGCTAGTATCTAAATATAAATGAATGCTACATATACTTGCCTCATAGCTTGCTAAACCATCCTTTTCATCACAATGCTTGTTACCGCATATGAACTGCCCTGACAGAAGAAAAGGTGGTCAAGTAAAATCTCATGCACGAGGAAAAAGGAAAAGGTTACAGGAATTGAGTACTTTTCAACTATAAACTGTCTATGGATAAAATGTGAAAGCATTTACAGCTTATATACTTCTATATGCACCTTTTACAATATAAAACAGAGGAAAAGACACGATAATTTTCAGAAAATGGAAAAGTAAAAATGTACAGCTTTACATGGAACTGTCAGCGGGCAATTCCAACATCCAAAAATAAAAATTAAATACCAGAAGGTGCCTAAAAGAGTGGAAAAAATTTTGTATAAGCAAGGATACAAACCACACAGCCAATTAGCCAGAGGAACAGAAATTTAAAGTAAAGTAAATTATAAATGGAAAGGTAATATCATCGCGAGGTAACCAACCACACAGTCAACTAGCAGGATAATCGGGAGTTCATACTAAGTAACTAATACTTAATAGATGAAAAGATGGCAGAGACTACCAAAGAATGGACATAAGAAATTTTACCTTTCCCAGATATTACTTCCTTCTCAGTACGCCACCTGAGACCAATCTATAAGTAAAAATTTTAATAGAAGATTGAATTTCAAGTGACAATTTCAGTAAGAAACTGAAAATTGAAGTGAATCAGAAAACTTCATACACTCACCTTCCCACTTTTGTAATGTGTCATATCAGCTATGCAGTATCTTCAATGAATTTAAGGCAACAATATCTAATCTCCTCTCTCATAGGCATAAAAAAAATTATTGATTTTGTTCTTGTGATCAAAAGCATTTTCACATATGCATTACATATAACAATTGGCAAGAAAGAAGTAACTAAATGGTGCATCAGATGAACTGTTCCAGCCTCTCTAACAGCACTTTGGCCTTAAAAGCACAGTAAAGAACTTTTTTCAAAAGTGACACATAAAAGAAAACCTTAACTACTAAAAGTAATGCTTTGGTACACCATAATTTATTTTAGGTTTCAATATAGTTTGGTCTTTAAACTTTTTATCTATTGCTCCCTAAACTTTTACTTTGGTCATTAAACTTTTACCCACTATTCATTTTGGTCATTTAAAATCTTTATTTTAGTCCATCTTTCTTCAAATTCCATGAAAATCTAATGTAACTCCTTTATCATATACGTCACATTCACATTATCCCCTTCACAATAGAGACTAAATTTGAGTTAAAATACAAGTTTAAGGACTAAAAAATTGAGATTCCAAATGTTAAAAATAGCTCAAATAAAATGTGGACAAGAGTTCATGGATTAAAACTAAACTTCCAAAGTTCAAAGACCAAACTGAAAAATAGACAAGAATTAAAGACGGAAATCACATTTGAACTTTTTATTTCAATCAAATAATAAACAACTAAAGCCCGAAAAATATAGCATCAGCTAAACATAGGATACTCTTTGAAAAGCTTATCATAATATCGCTTCACCAGCTTTTGCTCCCATGATGTATCCATGTCATCTTCTTCAGAACGAATGAACCTTGAAAATAACTAATTAAAAAATAGCTAATAAACTTATTGAGGAAGAAACTTAATTAATACATGGGGTAAAATATTCATAACGCACCGTAAACCAAAGTTATGGACATGAGGACATCCTATAATGAGGCAAACTTGTTTTTTCAAAAATCATACGGCTTATCATCTACACTACAGTTGTCCTTATTCACAATATTTCATCAACCTTACAATATCCATAATAATTTATTTCTAAGCCACTACCAGTATGAACCTACTTTATTTCTTACTGTAAACTCTAATGTGGTCATTATTGCATTCTGCATATATGAGGAACCAAATCGTGACTGTCATGGAAAGAACAGTTGGATCATACCGGTAGCCCTCCCTCAAGGTGTCTTGATCGGTCTTAATAGGAAATTTTTCTTCCCTAGATTTATTTTTCCCGTAGAAATGAACTGCAACCAACAAAAACCACACAATTCAATTCAACTACATAAAACTTGGAAAGTTTTTAAAATCTGGTAACCTACTTTGATACACAAACCATCTGGAAGTCTCAGTAGTACTTTAATATTCTGTGTAAACATATAAATTCTTCTCCTTCTCTAGAAAAACTTTATGCAAACAAGCATGAGAACAAACTACCATAGTTCATTTGTTTTTAAGAATCTTAATCTTAGCTACACAATATTTTTAAAATATATATTTAAAAAGAAAAAAAAAAGACTCAAATAAGGTATGACTTGAATTGTTGCATTGAAATTTCACTACCCAACCTGGCATATATAAATACTCCAGCTCTTCCTGGGATTTTTATATCTTCTTATTTCTTTTCTTTTCTTTTCTTACTCTAGACTCTAAATAAGAAAAATTAAATACCCTACCAAATTAATAGCTAAAGGCCAAAGGCACAATTGAGGTCTGCAAATGTTTACTGAAAATTTTCTTGCATTTAACTGTATGTAAGAATGACTGTAGCCTCCTGTCATCTTAGTGAAGGAAACTGTTCATCATTCTTTTGCTTTCGGACTCCAGGGTGTGCAAATAAGGGGCTCAATATTTGCAAGCTTCCTTCATGTCCGTTTGTCTGCTACTGAATTTATAAGATAACTAAATGAACTATATATAACAATCCTTAAAAGAATGGGTCAATGCCCATGTTGTCACTCGATCCATTGACAATCGCAACAGATAAAATCCTCCGTTCTAGACTGCATAACTTAAAGCTAATAAGAACCTTCCGTCACTTCCATAATTAAGCAGTAATTTTCGTCCCACTGCTAGTTAAGTAACTAATTCACCATGTTAATACATAAGATCATATGCCAAAACCATTCAAGTAAAGCAACGAATAATCAAGCCACAATCACCAATATAATCGTTTCCCCAAGCAAATACTCGTTAATTAAACATTAAGACAGTCATAATCGCACCGTAATCATGTATAAACTTCTTGTGGCGATCGTAAGCATTGAGCCCTCGCACATGAGCCTGGTACTGTCTGCAAAATTTCCAAAAAGATAATGAAGAAAAGTTGTTAAGAGGAAATGACAGAAGGAAGTCCGTGGAAAGAAGATTGAAGACAAGGGAACGCACTGTTTTTTCTCTTCTCTTTCGAAGATGGCATTCTTCAGAGAGCCGAAGGACGCCATGGCCGCGCCAAGCAATGGTATTCGATTCGCTGTGATGTTGTTTGTGACTCATAAAGGTCCGTCCCCGGTATGAATCGAACTGAAGCCCCAGAGAAAATCTGATTTTGGGCCAGTTATTGGGCCGGGCTCCACTACTTCTTCCTCGTGGCCCAAACCTAACTAATGGATTTAACATGTTCGTTTTGAGGTTTAAATTGCTTTCCAAAATAAAACAGAAATTGGGTCTAAGTCGTTTTTTTTTTTTTTTTTGATTTAGTCTAAATCGTATTTTGGTCTCGTAGATATTTTGTTTTTGTTCTTAAACTTTTATACCAAATTATTTTGGTCTTTGAAATATAATATATATGATTTTGGAAATTTATAAATTAAAATATAACATTTAAAAGTTTTGAGAAATAATTATTTTTTTAATATAAGTGGTTTGAATAAAGATTTGAAGTCAGAGTATTTTGATCTAAAATAGACACTACAAAGGGATTAGAACAAGTAGGAATTTAAAATATCCACACACATTGTGACGTTCGTGTGCATGCTCACACTCACGAAGGTTGTTACTATTATTGATTAAGTTCGATCATGCTCTCATAAGTTATAACTATATAAGATTGTTAGGTAAAGAAAAGACTACGTAAGATTGTGACCCCTTGTTGCTATATGTGCGACTGAACATATACTTGGTAATTTTCAAATTAAGTAATGTAAATTAATTATTCCAAGTATTATTTGCTTGAGTACAACAATTTGGAGATATAGGGGATTGAATATCTGACCTCGAGGGAAAGAGTACATGTCAACTACCACTGAGCTATGTTCGTGTTGGTGGATTATTCCAAACATTCGAACCATGAAATTTGCTATGATTGATATTTTTTTTATTTTTTAACTTTTTTGTAGTACGACARAAGGTAAGAGACAAGTGATTGAACCTTCGAACTCAAGACAAGTAATGTAATGAATTTCTTGTTCACTAAATTACGCTGCTAATTGATTAATCAATAAAGAATAATTATGTGTGAAGTCTATCATTACATCAGGTAAAATATACCAAAAAATTATGGACATGTTTGTATGTCATCCAAATTATGTTTATCGTTTTTAATGTTTGGTTGTTTAACATTTTTATGTTTTCAATGTTTTCAGATCCTGAATTTGAAACTTTAAAATGCATAATATTTAGAAGGATAAAATATTTGATCAATGTATTTTATAATGTTATAAACTCTTTTCATTTTTGTTAAAACAAAAAAATGTAAAATATATAATATTATAAAATAATAATTATACAAAATTTATAATATATATGTTAATAAATCAATTAATATTACGTTAGAWTTAACTAAATATTTAATTGATAACTACAACTATTTTACAAATATACTACTAGACACCTTAAATAATTTTTAAGATGAAATTCAATTTCTAAATTTGATAACAATCACATATTTAAAACACTTAAAACAACTTTGGTTTGATTAATCTCATATATCAATCAAACGTACTTATATTTCCCAATATAATAATCAACATTAAAAGTTACATCAATGTATTAAAAAAATATACAAAGAAGAAGAATATATTAACAAACAAATCAACAATTATGGCAATCTTTCCCTCTAGTAACAAACTTTCCATATCTATATGGAAAAATAGGGAGGCAAACACAAATGACAAATGTTCACTTTAATGATCATAAGTAGGTAGTATCAATAATAGCACATTTACTTCTCCATCCACCATTTTGTCAAGAAGACATGGGACCTATAGATGTCACACTTTTATAGGAAAATATCTATTCCTCCAAACAAGGCATAGTCTTGTCTTGTAAATTTGAGGTAAAAATTCTAGATCGATTTCATGCTGGGTACTTGCACGTTATTTCGTCCATAATTCTTGACTACTTAACTTGTTGATCGTATAAATTGAAGTAGTAAAATAATGTTAAGGTTCAAAATAGATGTTATAAATAAAAAAACGTATGAACTTACCTGGTTTACTATTGGAGATGGTGTCAAAACACGATCATATGTAACTTTTCAACCTTGTTCTTACGAAAATTTTGTATATAGCATCTTCAGTCCTCATCTTCGTCCATGGGCAATACATATAAAATATTAGTTAAACGTCAAAATAATATTTTTGTCCCTGTATTTTTTTGTCCCATTTATTTTGGTTCCTCTTTCAACCTTAGTGTATTTCAATATCTATGTATTCAAAATGTTCATTTTGGATATTAGATCATTTTAGTCTCTAATTTCAAAATTTAACATAAATTATACATATAACAATAACTCATTAAAGGATCCAGATAGTTCAAAATAAATATTTTGAAAATACATCGACTAAAATAAATAAAAATTAAAAGTACATAGTAGATATTTTAATTTTGAAAAGTATAAGAAACACCTTGAAGTATTTTATTATTGAAGTTATTTTATTAGTCAGAACTTTTTTTCTTTTTTTCTTCAGGTCAGAACTTCTAATTATCTCAATAGAAATTTTGATATTTTTATTTCTATATGAACAAATACAGTTTTTTTTGCTCTCTTTCATACAAGACAGTGACGTCTCTCTGGGATCATCAGATGCTCATAAGTCATCTAGGGTTTGGACAAAACAAATTATTGAGATAAAGTTTTGGTTTAAATATTACGCTGAATCGGTTGTATTTTAGTCCATGTATTTTTTAAATAYCTATTTTAATTTTTATATTTTGATCTTGTACTTTTAAAAGTGATATTTTAGTCCTTATTTATAAAATTATAATATAAATTTTATACAAAATTGAAACATTTTAATGCATATTTATGTTACATTTCAAAAAAATAAAAAATACGGTGAGTGAAGTATGTTTAATTGGATTGAAATGAATGAGATAAAAATGAAATTGAAAGACACGATTGCCAATGTTAAAAACTACATGCACCAAAATGAACTTCGTGAGAGAGTGTAGAGATGAAAATGAACAAAAATTGAAAGCATATATACTAAAATTGACGTTTTAAAAGTACGTAGACCAAAATAAACCAAAATCGAACGTACATAAATTAAAATAATATTTTAACATTTTTTTCTTCATGTAATACAATGGTGTCTCTCTCTAGCGCATTTATTAACTCTCATGTGCGTGGTGTATGATGGTGTAGAACGTAGGTCATAAGTCATCATCAAGATTGGACAAATAATTTATTGAGATAAAGTCTTTCATCTATCTTTATTTCGAGGTATTTAGTTTTCGTCCCATGTCAATATTTCTATTGATATTTTCATATATTCATAAGTTCAATTTTATTATAAGAGGTAATTGACATTTTCATAGTATTACAAAAATTCGAATAAATTTAAAAAAAATATATCAACAAAATATTACTAATATGGAGATGAATAATAATTTTAACTTATTTAATGTTGGGTTTGTAAGATGATTGCAAACAAAGTCTCATATTGACTATGAATGGAATGATCATGGGTATATAAGAGGATAATTATCTTCATTGGTATCARGCCTTTTGGGTGAAACCAAAAGCAAAGTCGTGAAGGTTATGCCCAAAGCGGATAGTATCATACCATTGTGGAGATATTTGAGGTACCRTTGTTTGAGTGCTGAACAAAKAAGTGGTAGCTCTCGTTTCTAGGYCTTTTAGGTGAAACAAAAAACAAAGTCGTGAGAGTTATGTCCAAAGTGAACAATATCATACCATTGTGTTGATACTCGGATACCGTTGTCCTTAACATTTAAAAATGGTAAAATATTTATTTTTTAATTTTAATATTTGTTATGTTTTTTTTTTAATTTTTACATTGAAACTCGACATTTTATCGATAGTTTCATAAAATTGAGAATTCAACATTTCCATTCACATTTAAAACCTTAGTTCGTCCTACCGCCATTTTAAATAGTGGTCTTTCGTCCTATTTAAGGTATCATGCAAAGGTTTGTTTGTCCACCCTAATTTCAAGGCTCTATAATTAATTTATTAGACAATACAAACATATGGTTACATAAAATTAACAATACTTTACAATTTCAAACAAAATAAACACATGTCCTCTTTTTTGGAGTGGATTGTACTTTGATTATTACCGACTGGATCTACCTTTTTTAATGCTACGGACGATGTTGGAAAAAGGGGAGAATATTAATTTTATATGCATTATTGAATTTTTTTAGGTCTATTTAACATTATTATTTAGAATATCTTTTATTTTTAGCATCTCTTTATCTACTTGTGAACAAAAAGAGATTCAAACAACCCATTCAATACATAATATATTGTCCAAAGTTTAATTTTATTACCAACTTTTGCAAATATAACATGAGCTAAATTATAGCATAATTTGGTCCATGATAAAATATTTTGAATTATTCAAATGTAAGAATTCAGATGTTAATGCATGTCGATAACGTAAATACTTTATATAAGGTATATTAGTGATATAATTTATATTAATATATAAGTAATATACTTTATCAACACTAAAATAATGAAATATCAATAATATACTTTATATTAGTTATATTTTATTCAATGATACAAAAATACTATACATATAAAACTTTATAAAACTGATATATCAACAATAAAGGAATGGAAAATTTTATCATATTTATAAATTATTGTTATGTTTAACAAATTTACTAACATGGCAATCAGTTTCACCGAGCTCATCATAATTTCCCAAACTATTAAAATAATAACCTTATTGGTTGATTATACAAATTTGGACTAAACTAGCACAACGTAGCAAATGATTAGATAGATAGAGATATAAGTACCTATCACATAAAAAATTGGCACCTTGTTATTTAAAAAAAAATCATCCATTTTTAAATTCTTCAATTTTATTTGTCAAAAATTAATGATTAAATGTCTATCAATGAAAATGTTGAAGTATTAATTTCATGAAAATGTCGATAAAAATATTTATCGAAATATTATAAAAAATAGTTTGATAAGAAATATTTAAATTGACAAATAAACATTGTACAATCTATAAATAAATATATAGCATCATTAATTAATATTACGTATATTTAGCAATACTATATTAATATTAATTCACCCTTAAAATGTCTTTAGAAATGTCAAACATATCATAAAATTTGCGTCCCAACGAGTATATCTCAATACTAATTGGTATGGTAGAAATCTCCTCTTTCATCGCATTCTCCAATGGAGAGATCGTGAGTTGGATTCCCAACTCTAGTGTAAAAAAAATACAATCTAATATCATGAAATTTAGTATTTTATATAATATTTAATTCATCCAAATTTTCTTTAAAAGGAAGGGTAAATTTGTAATTTGATACAACCAGCTGGCTCTTTTTCCTTCCAAAATCAATGACGTGGCGTTTTGGGTTTCTACTTTCAAGGCGACCGACCCTGTCATCTACTGTCACTTCCAAACAGCTGGTTTTTGGGTTCCAAAAACAAAAAATATCAGACATCTCGACCCCACATTCTTAAAAGACATTGATTTGTTCTTTTCAATTCCTCTTCCCCTAAAACAAATATTTTTTTCTTTTATTAATTTTTAATTTATCGAAGAATGATTGGATTTTGAAGAGGCCACTCTTTCAAATTCAAACCCACTAGTAGAGCAGAATCATCTCCACCCGCGCCGCGCGTGACCTGTAATCTTCTCCGTCTTACCTCGCCGCCTGCCCCCCCCCTCACGGCGGAGGGCATTCGCCGCCGGCCCGTTTCTCGGTAGCCGGTCTTGCCCCCACTTGTTCTGTCTCTTTCGTATAGCAGTTTTCTCTCTGTCTGCAACTTATGCCCTGGTTTACAGCTGTATAGCTACTACTCTTATTGACTCTTGAAATAGAGAGGGAAAGATTCTGGGTTCTCCGCCCATTACTCCACTTTCGATTAAATGCCTGTTTCTATATTCGATTCGTCGTTTTCTCTGCCCGATTCGTCGGTTGATTTTGCTCGGAATCGTTGAGAGGTGAGTGCTTGACTCTGTTTTTGCTTTTTAGGGACTCTGTTTTTTTGTCTCTCAAAAGGGGGTTTGGGGGAATGTTATTCATTAGCGGCTTTTTTTGGTTATTTGAGGATGTGGGGTTGGTCTGTTATACGGTGTTCTTAGTTTCTGAGCTGAAGAATGCCACTGATTTACACTGATTCTTTTGCTCCAGGACAAAGTTGTCTGTTGTTCTGCTTCTCAAAGAAGAGTAGCTGCCATGGAACCTGGAGAATCTGCGGTGAGTTATGGGAAAAAAACTTGTTTGGTTGGTGGGAAAAAGCATGGGAAAGAGGAGAGAAAATTTCTCTCATGCCCCTCTCTTTAGTACAATAGAAGTTGTGTTTGTTAGCTTAATTTTGAAGAACCAAATGGTTAACAAACGAGGCCTTGATTATCTGCTTTTTAGACTTTCTCACTTCATGGTTGAAATTCTCAGATGTCAGTTTAATCAACTTCCTGTATTCTTCATTGATGCTCATTTAAACACAGGCAAAGGTTATGAAGAACATGGGCCCCCATGCCTGTCAAATCTGTGGAGACAATGTCGGGAAGACTGTCGATGGTGAACTGTTCGCTGCCTGTGATGTTTGCACATTTCCTGTCTGTAGACCGTGCTATGAGTACGAGAGAAAAGATGGGAATCAGTCTTGTCCTCAGTGCAAAAGCCGATACAAGAGGCACAAAGGTTGGTGTTACGTTGGTTTTTTGCCCAACTTATTGTTTCTCTCATCATATTAAGTACAATTTTGATGAAAATCATGAATGAAATGTTCTGGTTGCTCGACTACTGGGTCGTGGAAGCATGAATTCAAGTTCCCTTTGTGATAAAAATGTTGGATAGTCTGTTGTTTTCTTTATGAATAATGAATATAACAAACTTGTTCACATTGCCCTTTTCCACTTGCTTTTGTATAGGAAGTCCTGCTGTTCTTGGTGATGAAGAGGATGCTGAGCTTGATGACGACGACGATGCCATTGATTTGAATTACATTTCTGAAAGTCAGAAACAGAAGCAGAAGATTGCGGAGCGTATGATGAGCTGGCAGATGGCATACGAGCAGCCTCCGAATTACGACAAAGAAGTTTCCATAAATCACATTCCCTTGCTCACCAATGGGCAGGAGGTAGTTCAATAACTTATGGCAATACTCTTTTTTCTTTTGCACCAAAGCAAGTAGAGCCAATTTCTTGAGTTCTATGGACCTTTAGGTTTCTGGAGAACTCTCAGCTGCGTCACCCGAGCATCATTCGATGGCATCTCCCGGACATCCTCGTGGGAAAATATATTCTCTTCCTTATGCAGCTGATATTAACCAATCACGTAAAATTTCGCGCTTTCTTCTGCTACATAATATCTGTCCATGTTCTTAGGTGTACTTATCATACATGACCTTGGAAATTCTTGGTTGCGACTTTTGTACAGCTAATGTGCGAGGCGTGGACCCCGTAAAAGAGTATAATTCATCGGGGCTCGGGAATGTAGCTTGGAAAGAGAGAGTTGACGGCTGGAAGATGAAACAGGAGAGGAATGCTGTTCCAATGAGCACAGCCCATGCTGCATCTGAAAGGGGTAATGGAGATATTGATGCCTGCACAGATGTGCTTGTTGATGACTCCTTATTGTGAGTTTTCTTTTTTTCCCTTGATATCCAATTATTTGTAACTTTTGTTTCCTAGAGTCTAATCTGAAAGAGGTATGCTTTTCATGTAAACTCGTTTCGCTTGCAGAAACGATGAAGCTCGCCAGCCTCTCTCAAGAAAGGTTTCGGTTCCATCGTCTAGGATAAACCCTTATCGAATGGTGATTGTTCTGCGGCTTGTGATTCTTTGCTTTTTCTTGCATTACCGAATAACAAATCCGGTGCGCAATGCATACGCTCTATGGCTGATATCTGTTATATGTGAGATCTGGTTTGCTATATCCTGGATATTAGATCAGTTCCCGAAGTGGCTTCCTGTAAACCGTGAGACATATCTCGATCGGCTTGCATTAAGGTACGAAAAGGTTGCATTTCTAGTCTATTTACATTCAATTTCTTAATCTGAGCAGTTAAATTTGTGTTGTTACCAGAACAAATGCATGAGCCATATTTTTTCCTGGTCTAAAAATTGTTTTGAATTTAAGGAAAGTTTAGTTGCTAAATAGTCCCCGAACGGGAACGAATACGGTGTTAAACTTTTAATTTTGTGTCTAATAGATCTCTGAACTTTAAAATGTCTAATTACTCTTGAATCTAATAGGGAGTGTACCATTTTGACTTTTTTTTTTAAAAAAATTCATGGACCTGTTAGACAATGTTTTAAAGTCCAAGAATCTATTAGACACAAGTTAAGAGTTCAGTGACCTATCAAATACTTTTTAAAATTCAAGAATCTAATAGACCCGATGCACTAAATTTGTAATTTAACGCCTAATGAAATTTGTACCCTTGATAATAGGTACGACAGGGAAGGAGAATCATCACAACTTGCTGCTGTAGACATTTTTGTGAGTACTGTTGACCCACTGAAGGAGCCTCCTCTTGTCACAGCCAATACTGTGCTATCGATTCTCGCTGTCGACTACCCGGTTGACAAGGTCTCGTGCTACGTCTCTGACGATGGAGCTGCCATGTTGACATTCGAAGCATTGTCCGAGACGTCGGAGTTTGCAAGGTCATGGGTGCCTTTCTGCAAGAGATACAACATCGAGCCTCGGGCCCCCGAATGGTACTTCGCGCAGAAAATCGATTACTTGAAGGATAAAGTCCGTCCATCATTTGTCAAAGATCGAAGGGCAATGAAGGTACTACCTTAAACTCAAAAAGGAAAGTAATTAACAACCAAAATCCTAACGAAGGCAGTAATTTTGTTGGCCCCCAATTTAATTTATTGCAGAGAGAATACGAGGAGTTTAAGGTTCGCATCAATGGTCTGGTGTCAAAGGCACAGAAGGTCCCTGAAGAAGGGTGGATCATGCAAGATGGAACTCCGTGGCCTGGAAATAACACTAGAGACCATCCCGGGATGATCCAAGTAATCTCTTAATATGTAAATAAATTGTGTTTGATAGGTCTCTGAGTTTTAAAAGTATCTACAAATAAGTTTATAGACTTTCTATTTTGTGTTTAGTAGATTCTTGATTTATAAGACACCTCCTAAAGTTTAAAGACCTATTGAATACAAAATTGAGAGTTTAAGAACTATTAAACACCAATCTTTTAAAAGTTTTGGCCGATTTGATAGCCGTGTTGTTTTTGGTTTTTTGTTTTCGAAAATTTAGTTAATAAGTACTACTTTAACCTCTGTATTTCTTTGCTTTGCTATTTACTTTTGACCCACGTTTTTTTGTCCTTTGTATCTGTTTTTGAAATTTGGCTACTAATTCAAATGTTGTTTTAATGAAGAAGCGAATAGCATATTAAAGAAATAGCGAGGAAGTAAGCATAATTTTCATAAACAGAAAAATAAATCTGCAACCGTTATTTTACGGAGCCTTAAGAACTTATCAGGTAACCTTGTATGGCATCTATTTGCAGGTTTTCTTAGGCCAAAATGGCGGATTAGATTCCGAAGGCAACGAGTTGCCTCGTCTTGTATACGTATCTCGTGAAAAGCGTCCTGGATTCCAACATCACAAGAAAGCCGGTGCCATGAATGCACTTGTAAGTCCTAAACAATCACAACAAATTTACAAGAAAGACATCTTTTTTCTCTTGTTTTTTGCCCATCACCATAAAGTAATTTATCAAACACTGACATGACAGGTTCGGGTTTCTGCTGTTCTTACCAATGGCCCGTTCCTGTTGAATCTCGACTGTGATCATTACATAAACAACAGCAAGGCCCTGAGAGAAGCAATGTGTTTCATGATGGATCCCAACCTCGGAAAATTCGTCTGTTATGTTCAGTTTCCCCAAAGATTTGATGGCATTGACAAGAACGACCGGTATGCCAACCGGAATACCGTTTTCTTTGACGTAAGTTGTCTGCTCCATCCTGTTTGATAACGGTTTCGTTTGTAAAAGAGTCCATTTTGAATGCACATTGCTCCCTTGTTTCATAATACAGTTTTCTTCGACGTAAGTTGTCTGCTTGCCTGTTTGATAATCGTTTCGTTCGTAAAAGGGTCCATTTTGAATGCTCATTGTTCCCTAATACAGTTTTCTTCGATGTAAGTTGTTTGCTCTGTCCTGTTTGATAACCGTTCTTTTGGTAAAAGAGTTCATTTTGAATGCTCATTGTTTCCTAATACAGTTTTCTTCGACGTAAGTTGTCTGCTCGATCCTGTTTGATAACCGTTTCGTTAGTAAAAGAGTCCATTTTGGATGTTGATTGTTGTCTTGTTTTCGATGATCTCAGATAAATTTGAGAGGTTTGGATGGGATTCAAGGCCCAGTTTACGTGGGCACTGGATGCGTCTTCAACAGAACCGCACTGTACGGTTACGAACCTCCTCACAAGCCCAAGAATCGGAAGCCAGGGCTTCTGTCATCGCTCTGCGGCGGATCCAGAAAGAAGAAATCAAAATCGAGCAAAAAGAGCCCCGACAGGAAGAAATCCAACACCCATGTTGTCGACCCGACAGTCCCCATTTTCAATCTCGACGACATTGAGGAAGTGGTTGAAGGTATACAGATTACCAATTACAACCCTTGATTGGAGAATTTTTGAAACTATTTTGATTTGATCGATTTTGGGAATTGGGGGGATTTTGTTGATGAACAGGAGCCGGATTTGACGATGAGAAATCGCTGCTGATGTCGCAAATGACTCTGGAGCAGAGGTTCGGGCAATCCGCCGTGTTCGTTGCGTCGACGCTTATGGAAAACGGCGGCGTTCCGCAGTCGGCGACGCCGGAGTCTCTTCTGAAGGAGGCTATTCATGTCATCAGCTGCGGGTATGAAGACAAAACTGACTGGGGATCTGAGGTTTGTCCACTACTCAATTCTGATGCATTTTTTGTTTTCCATAGAAGCTCGGTTTCTCATTTGAAAAATAAGGTTACAAAACTCCGTAGTTTATTAACCATTTACAATTTAGTCCCTGCCGAGAAAAACTTTTAATAATCTATTTTTACATATAATAATTTATAAATACATTTTAACAAAAAAAAAAGTTTTCTTTTTTCTTTTCAATTTTGTGAAGGTCCGATAGATTAACTTATATGTCATGATCCTCGGCGAGTTGGATAAAAAGAATTTGAAAATAAATTAAGGCACCTCAAAATATTAAAATATTAGATTACTCAGCCAAAATTGGTCGTCTTCTATTTTTCTTTTCCTTTTTAAGGTGGTGTGGTTCATTCTTCGAATTCTTGTCAACTTCTTCAATATTATATCATCAATTAAAAAATATTAAAATGTGACAAATTAATATAAAACATTTGGAACAACAGGACTAAATTAAAGAAATATCTTGTTGATGCTTGAATTTTGATTGACCGTTTCTCTCCAAAAATGTGTACCAAACTTGATTATTAAGGGATCGAATATCTGCAAAACCGAACAACCATAAACGAGTTGGGCTTCGATGCCTAAGTTAGCTATAAGCAAGGAAGGTACTTGAAGTGTAAGTGTAATTCAGCTTACCTTCAAGGGGTGACCCCCTAGTTATCTTCGGTTTCACGAATGCCAACCCTAGGTCATGACACGTGTGGGTCTATGGGCCAGGACACCTCCAGTAGCAATTGGGGAGAAAGGACGGGGCTCGGCACCAAGTAGGGGTCGGAACCAAGCCCTACTCGGCCCGGCTCGACCTTAGTGGGTTGTTTCTCTTGGCTTGGTACGGCCCTTTGTTTGTTGTTTTTTATCTCATAACATACCCCAACATTAGAAATTATAATATATATGAGGAGTTTGACCTATCTTTCTATTGAATTACATTTAATTTTTTTTTTAATTAGTATTATTATTTATTATTCTTTTATTATCATCTGGCAAGTGCTTAAATTATAAACCATGTTTTGCACAATCATTTCTAAGAAAGGTTTTTAAACCAGTCTAGTATTTTAAAAAGTGTTCTTACTTATCATCAAACACCCTAGAATTTTTAAATTTATAATTCTTCTAAAAGGTGTTGTGTTTGCCAGAACCATGTTCTTATTTAAAAAATAATTCTTCTACCCTAATAATTTCTCTCTTTTCATATTTTCATTATTATGAAAAGTTCACCAAAAACAACCATGTTCTTATTTAAAATGTACTTTTGGTGTTTGGTGTGTGCAGATTGGATGGATTTATGGGTCTGTCACTGAAGATATCCTTACTGGGTTCAAAATGCATGCTCGTGGTTGGCGATCGATTTACTGCAACCCGAAGCGACCCGCCTTTAAAGGGTCTGCGCCGATCAATCTTTCGGATCGATTGAACCAAGTGCTCCGGTGGGCTCTCGGGTCTGTGGAGATTCTTCTCAGTAGGCATTGCCCTATCTGGTATGGCTATGGCGGGCGCCTCAAATGGCTCGAAAGGTTTGCGTACGTGAACACGACGATTTATCCCATCACTGCTGTTCCTCTTCTCATGTATTGTACCTTACCCGCCGTGTGTCTGCTCACGAACAAGTTCATCATTCCCCAGGTACGATGTATGACCCAAAAAATGTATTTTTATGTATCATTTTCGCTAAATTATAACTTGCTTTTAGTTGAGCTATACCTGTGTCGTATCTAATAGATTCATGGTTTAAAAAAATTCTTAATGAATCAGGAATATATTAAACACAAAGTTGAAAGTTTAGGGACTAAACTTATAATCTAACCTATCTTTTTATATGTTCATAATGCAACGAAGCCAATATCGTGTAATGAGTCTGTAACTGTTGGTTCAATGTGTTTGCAGATTAGTAACATTGCAAGTATATGGTTTATATCCCTCTTCCTCTCCATTTTCGCAACTGGCATTCTCGAGATGAGATGGAGCGGGGTTGGGATCGACGAGTGGTGGAGAAACGAACAATTTTGGGTCATTGGTGGTGTTTCAGCTCACCTGTTTGCAGTTTTCCAAGGGCTGCTCAAGGTTCTTGCTGGAATCGACACCAACTTCACGGTCACGTCCAAGGCATCGGATGAAGACGGGGACTTTGCCGAGCTTTACCTGTTCAAATGGACGACTCTTCTCATCCCACCAACAACCCTCCTCATAGTAAACTTGGTCGGGGTCGTAGCCGGGATATCTTATGCAATCAACAGCGGGTACCAATCATGGGGACCGCTGTTTGGCAAGCTATTCTTCGCCTTTTGGGTGATCATTCACCTCTACCCATTCTTGAAAGGTTTGATGGGTCGCCAAAACAGAACGCCCACCATCGTCGTCGTGTGGTCGATTCTTCTCGCTTCCATTTTCTCGTTACTATGGGTGAGGATCGATCCGTTCACTACATCAGTCACGGGGCCCGACGTCGAGGAGTGTGGAATCAACTGCTAGACTAGTTTTACCTTAGATGGTGCCGAGTAAAAACATTTGGGAAACTTGCTTTATTTATTTAAGGTATACATGTCTATAATGAATACGAGGTTGTAAGAAAAATGGGTGTAATGATATTTTCCTGTTGTGCGTAYTAGGCCATTCATTAATGGAGATAATGGCTTGAAARTGCTAATGCAAAGAAAAATATAATCAATCATTGAATTTAGTCTTTAAAAAAAAGAATTACGGACTTAAGAATGCAAACAAAAAATCAGATTATATAAAAAGGAATATCCAGTCAAATATTATACATAATCATAATGTTACATAATACCAAGAAAAGAGAAATTGAAAAGAAAAAAGAAAAAGCAACATTATAGGGTCCAAGTCCAACCAAGATAATGATACAAAATTGGAAAGATAACACCAATTTTTTTTAAATATAAAGTGAGTGTATAAAACTATAAATAATAAGTATGACTTTTATGTGAAGCTGCAAAATGTAGTGAGCTTAGGGAAGCCTTTGGGTCCTGAGGTAACGCCAAGGTCCTGTTCTCGTGCCCATCCTGCAATGTTATAAATATTTTATTTTTGGCTAAAAAGTCGCGGTACTAATAAAGCTACATTYTAACACGATCATTCATTGTCGGATTTTAGATATTTAAAACTTATTCGGTGACTATTTTTAGCGACTTTTATTATACGTTTAAAARTAACTATTTTTTCTCTTCACTTTTTGTTGTTTGGTCATTCTTTTTTATTTTTAATATTGAAATTAATATATAATGTTATTTTGATTTCTAAATCTCACGTAACAACCCATTTTAGTTACCATCCTTAAATTTTTGTAATATGYATTTAACATTAAAKTTTCATGACGAAAAATTGAAAATAAGAGCATATGACGTCAAGGATAAAACATTTRAAAGTATAAATACTCAAAATACAATCATTCTAGAAGATTATGAAGCAAAATAAAATTTAAATCATAAGATACAATTTTCTTTTGAAACCAATCTTAAAATATGTTTTTTCTTRTATCATAATTCAAATATAAAATTGAGAGCTCCAGCCTCATAAATACCAAAATAAAATATAGAAAATACTTAGATTCTCAATCCCTATTTCTTGTGGTCAATTATYGAAGGTTGGACAACTCATTATTTTTATTAAATTCTATATTTTGTATTTCTCTCCAAATCGTAAAATCCCCTAGAAAAGTTTTTACGATATTTTTTCATTAAATATTTAAAAGTATTAAGATGAATTAAAAATGAAAAATTGGAGCAAAGAATATATAATTATTTTGCTTTTTTGTAATTTATCGACAGTGACAACAAAGAATACCTCCAAACACCAACAAAAGTTCGCAGAAACATATAGATTGTGAGAGCAGTCCAAATCCCAATGAAGCCATTGCTTTTGGAGAGAAGGAACAGAGAAATCACGCTCACAATCGACACCAGAACCTGAAGAAAATGGCAAGCAAACTGAGTTACGATTGAGGAATTTTCACAAACAGGAGAAGGATGATCGTGTAGAACTTGCCAATGAGTATGCGGAGTACGCAAAATCAGACGCTCCAAAATTCACTCCGTCGAACACAAACGCCAGTGAGTTTAGCGGCTGTGTAGCTGCGATGAACTGGTGAGTTTCCAGAGGAAAAAAAATGGAGAATCAGATGAGTTCATAGATGGAAATGGAATTGGAAGGAGGAAGAACAGGTACGTTTTTTTATTTACCGGAATTCCTAAATGTATGAGGTGCTGCACATGAATGTCTCTCGAAAATATTCCTGCTCCGAAGAACATTCCGATTCCGACGACTATAGCCAGTCCAACACCTAGAATAAAGCTCATCTGTTGAAGTAAATGTTTTAGGTTGATTAGAGGAACTGAGTTTAGAATGAATTCTGATAGATGATCATGGTATTTTGAATGTGACTGTATAAAGTAATCAATTCATTTTGATTTTAGATGATGAAGATTTTGTTATGCAAGCGCGTGGTAGCTCAAGATCTCTGCAAACTTGGTTCTGTGTTATCTTTTGAAGCAGTAAGAGAATTCTTTCGAATTTGTAAGTTTTTAATTTATTTCTTACCTGCAATACTCTGGTAGCTGTTGCTGTTGTCTTGTCATAGTCTTTCTCTGCAAATGCACAGGCTAGAATTGCCTAAAAGAACAAGAGAAAAAATCATATACCATGAAAACGATAACTAGGAGTTTTTTTTTTTCCCAAACATCCATAGATTTTCACTTAGAAAGGAAGTTTTGAAGTTGAGGGGGAATTAGATTTGTCTCTTCACCTGTCCAGCTACTGCTAAACCATCAGAAAGTAAAGAAGACGTCATCCAGACTTGCAAACAAGTTTGGAATGCAGCCATAGGTGTTGAACCCAGCCTTGCAGCTAGTGATGCTGCTAGAGTCACACAAAATGTTACTGCTACAACTCTTGCCAGCAGCAGACCTCCTGCTCCCATCCATTCAAAGTTCAGTAAAAGATATTGGTTTATCGAGTCATCACATATGGTGTGGAAAACTAAGAATTGTTTGGGAACATTTTTTTACCATTTTTAAGAAATCGACCAAATTGGAGATCTTTAAGACTTGGAGGCATGAGATTGACTTTTTGCACCAGTCTCCAGAAGAGAATCAGCACAATCAAGTACCTGAAAGGGTTTAAGTAAGTCTCAGAGAAACTTTCTGGAACATCAAGACATAAGTTTTATGCCATTTTGAAGCAAGTTTCTAGAAGTGCGAGTATGGCAGTTGAATCTTACTGAGAAATAACATGCGCAGCAGCTGCACCTTTGACCCCCCAACGGCACACAAAGATGAGAATGGGGTCCAGCATGATGTTTACAGTATATCCAAAAACTATATGGAGACAAATGAACAAATGGTTGCTAGTCAAATGAAGTTGATATATTAGTTCCAATCATATATGGAGGAAAGGGGAAACGTAAGACCTACCAATGACGTAAAGAGGAGTTTTCGTATCCTTGAACCCTCTAAAGATCCCTTGCATGGCCAATGACAGAAGAACAGCAGGAGCACCAAGTGATCTTAATGTCAAGTACTTGTGAGCAGGGGCAAACATGGGTGAATCCTGTTTGTTGAAGTACCACAATATCAGAGGTTGAAGACATTTGATCTAAAATCGGGCTTCATTTTAAGTTACAAGGAGCACTTACATCTTTTACACCCATTAGATTCAGTAAAAATTTGGCTCCAAATACAAGGAATATGGCTTGCATGAGACCCAGAATTGAGCCAAATATCAAAGCTGTTGATGCTGATGCAATTTGCTTCTTCTCCTTCTTTTTGGACTTATCAGGGGTTGACTTGCTTATGTTTAAACTCAAATCTAGCAAAAAAAAAAAAAAAAACTCGGAGTTTAATTACCTAGGAAATATTTTATATTTGAAATTATTATAATCTCCAAATTCTATACATCAAGTTTTTCTTTACCTCTTCCCGGAGGAGCACCATTAGGCACCAATTCTTTTGTTTCCTTTTTTGTTGAAGAGCTCTCGTTGTTTTCTTTTTCTGCACCTTGTTCTATGGTGACATTATTCCCTGTTAGCTCGTGATTTAAGTTGACAGAGTCTTGTTTGGGTGCAAGTTTTTCTTCGTCCTCAAGTTCATGATCCTCAGCCACATGAACTTTCACCGAGTTATCATCAGCCAAACACTTACCTTTGTCACCTTTTGCTGCTTTTGTGCCAGCCTTGCCAATGGTATCCTCCTCAGCGACAAAAGAAGTTGTAATGCTTACAAGTGGGAATATGGTAATCCTTGAAGCTTGATTGAATATAGCAATGGATACTCCAACTGCAGCAAGTTCCACAGGTCCGATATGGCCAACAAAAGCAGTGTCGATAAGAGAAGCTACAGGATCAGCTGCAACGGCAAGAGCAGCTGGCAGTGCAATTCCCAGTATCTCACGACCAATTGCGTCAAGCTTGAAAACACGCCTACATGTATAAACAATTTGAACATACTAGTCATTAGTTTAAGAGGGAAGAGAACATACTAGTCATTAGTTTAAGAGGGATCAGAAAAGATTCTCTAGTAATGTATATTGGATGGTCCATAGCTGGGGAAAAGGTAAACTTTTGGAAGTGGCATAGTATGAACCAACCACAGTGAATAGCCACATGAACTGGATTACAAGTTATGTTCGGAAGAATCACATCGGGATTTTGAGGTTAAGTTTGAACATCAGGCATTTTATGATGAGAGTTGATTGGAACATGAAAAGGCACCTTGCGTCTTTGAAGAAAACATTAACAGACATCTTCGACTTGATCCCGCCTTGTGTGGTCAGATCAAGATTGTGATTTTGGTTCTGATCTGCCCGTGTTGTAGTGCTCAAAATGGTCTAGGTTGTTGAATTCCAATGCCAAACTACAAGATCAGAAAGCTTTAGTAAGCACATTTGATGCAAGTACATATACACATTCTAAACAGCTAAAAGTTTTGAATGTAAAAGGGAGTAACACAAAATTCTGAAAATAGCCAGTGATATTGAAAGCTTTGAAGTTGACACCATGTATTTAAACCAATCTTCGCAGCCGAAAGAATGAAATCTCAGAAGAAACTTGTATCGTAAACAAGTTTTATAGAAACACATGCATTGAGAGAGAAAGAGAGAGGTACCTTTTCCAGGAGTAAGGAGTAACTGAATGAGACGAGTCAAATGTAGATTTGGCCCCTAGGACTCATATATGCTGGAAGATCGACGTGTTTAAGAAGAAAGGAAGATAGACGCTATAAGAGATCTAATATAAGTGAACTATTTGATGTATTCTAGCTAACAGTACCTCCCTCAGTTCTTTCAATGATACACGCATACACACACACCAGTTTTATCGGAATTCAAACGTGACAATAGTTGATAAACAACTCATGTCTAGATGTATAAATATATTGATTCTTTTATTTGAGAAGTACACATCAGAAGGAATGTGATTCTGATTTTAGAATTTTACATGGAAATATTAACAGTATTTGTTCATTCCATGCATATGGAACCCTCCCCAGATCTGCCTTCCCTTGCTGATGACAGTTTAACAATATTTTTTACACCGAATCAAGGAAGAAACAGAAGCAAATAAAGTACTTCCATGATGGACTATTGTGGGGAGAACCTTCCTAGCTACCTACGAATTGAATAATGTTAGTTTGCCTGAAATCTTCCCCAGTTAACCTCAAAATGTGGAATTTTTGCTCCTTGATTATAGAGATTTCCTAGGGAAAAATGGGACCCAAGAAATCCATAAATTTTTAATGATTAAACTCCATAAATATTTGCATGGATATGGCCTTTAGTGAACGTACTTTATAACTTGTTAAGCATACTCTGACAGTTTTGTTCATTTATGTGGATCAAGAAGAATGAAAGAAAACAGCCATGATATTACAAAATTATTATTATTATATGGGGATGAGCCTGAGTGCTTAAAGTTTCCTACACCAAATAACTCTCGGATCCTAAATTTTCTAATGTAAAGTTAATGTGACCAAAACCTTACCTAAATATTGAAGAAAAACCCAATGCAAATTTTTGTTTTATTATTAGGAGTTAGTTTTCATTTATTTATTTTAGTTTTTTTGTAGCATTTGTTGAGCAGGTGGGAATTCGTGAGTCAGGAAGATGAGAAGTTTTAGAATTTCCATGTGTCGAAAGAGCCTTAAAAGTTGGTTAAAACTCGAGGTTTTTGATTTGGGTTCTGTCCTCACTATATGACCAGAACATAAATTTATTATTCTCCTGTGGCTGTGGTCAATCACATTATGTGATATCGAAATGAACATCAAATACCCTTAGAAAATGGTTGCAAAAAAGAAAACTGAATACTCCACACACAGAATACACTCCAAAATGATCACACATTACCAATTTGTTTATTTGCACAGGGAACAAAAAGATAGTCCAAAACCCCAACTAATCTCATAAAAAAGCAAACAAAATTTTCACAAAAAAACACAAAAATCATACATTACACGAAACCACGCCACCAAGGACTTGCGTGCTGTTTCATGCACGCCATATATATGTGTGTGTGTATATACACATACATAAACACATAGATGTGTAAACAATTGTGTTATAGGTCCAAAAAGTATAAGAGGAGGGATGAAATAGTGATATAAGAGAGCCTAATTATCATGATCATACATAGGAATATGAATAAAGGAACTTATATACATATATATATATATAAATAATGACCTTTGTTTTGAGTTCCTCCTGACTTAGCAAAGATATCACACAGCTGATCCAAAGCTCTCTTATTCTTCCCTACCAACTTCCTTTGTTCGTACACCAAACAAACTCAGCCTCTCCTTCCCTTTTATACGCCCACACCTCACTCTTTAGATAGAGAAATATATGGCTTTTGATAGTGGGACCAAATTCATACGCCATTCTGAATTAAATGGTTTTTGACAGTGGTGGATATGCCACCATTACAATTGATCAAAAGCTTCAAACTAAAGTAATATTGCATGTATTAGTTTCATACATTTTTTTTTTATAATGACATGATTGTCTATTTGTCTTATATTTAATATTATTATGATACCAATAGTACACATAAATCTCTCTGGGAGGAGACGTTGAATAATATGATTGATAGTTTTACTTTGTTAGATGTATGAGAAAGATTATTAGATGTATTTCAAATTTGACATAAAGATTTAAAATCTACATCCAACGTTTATTAACGGATATTAAAGGTTAATAGGGATGGCCGCACATTGTAGCTAGTCCTATAGAATAATTTTTTTCGTTCACTATTTTGTTAATAAAAGAATTAGGGTTTATTAGTGACTTTAAATTAGTAGGTAGCAGTCTAGATTTAATATTTAACTTTTTAATTCTTTTGTCAAATGTGCGTTCTACATAGGATTTCCAATACCCACGCCTGTTTTATATTTATATATAGATATTTATATATAGATATGTATGAATGAATGTGAGTGTATATATTATTCTTGTTCTTATGACCTACTTTTTATGGGTTAAGTGGGTGTATATAGCACTGGATTAATGGGAGGAGAAAAACAAACTGAGCCTACAAATGTGGTAAGTTAGCTACAAATATACACAGTAGTTAAGATCTTTTCATTATTCTCTTCAATCTTCATTACTGTCTTCCTTAATGATCCAAAAATTAAAGCTGCTCTGCAAGTTTTCCCAACAAAGAAAAAATGAATGAATTTGATATAGCTTGAGAAATTAGATCCAAAAATTATAGCTTGAGATATTGAAATTTTTTGGAGTTGGTGTCATTTTACTACTTGAAAATGATCAAATATTCTATAGATTGTAATTCTGTGTCTTCGAGTTCTCAGAAACTAGATTGAAAAATTACTTACTACTATTGATCTAGCTTGGGCAACTAAATCTGTTGCTTTATTTTTGTGAGCAAATAAGACAACTATTAGGTCATTTTTGTGAGCCTAGTTTAGTGGATAAGACAACTATTAGGTCGAAGGTTTGATCTCTACTTTCATGTGTTGAACTAAAAAAAAAGTACTATGTACTAATTTCATTCTCATGACACTGACGTCCTACCCTTTTTGTTCAACACCGGTAAGTTTCATCGACAAGTCACGTGACTAAGCTAGTTGGGCATGGGCGCTTCATCTTCGTCTATATAATAATAGTATATGGATATTGTCCACTACAGATCGTGATCGTATGTGTGATTTACTTTTGAATTTTCCTGGAAAGGATCCTATTAATCCGTGTGAGACATTATTTCTATTCTAGTAAATATATGATATGTGATTATTTGAATTTAAATGTATGTCATTGTTCCTTTTGAATCTAAACATGTGAGATTTACTCTCGAATTTTACCCTAATACAATATGATTATTATGATTATTGATTTATACATATCACAAAAACTACTAAAAATTAAACTGGTCTACTCTTGAAAGCTCAACAAGTAAATTTAAAACTTGATTCATATTTTCTATTTAGGATTATATATATTTATACACAGCAAATTTTATAATTTTCAATTAAGCAACCAAAGATCAAAACTTGGACATGGTAATCCCACTGCCCATCTTATTTACTTTATTTCAAGTGCTGTTTTTAATATAATTGTTGTTGATAATTGTATTATATGAAATAACAAATTGTTTCCTCTTTTTCCCCCATGCCTGGGAAAAGTATTTTAAAAGAAAAGAAATGAAATTAAAAAAAGGAAAAAAGATGGAAGCTTTTGTGTGCGCCTTTTCACCAGAATTAGCATGCCAATAATGGTGTGCATTTTTCGTTAGCTATAATTGTCTGGCACATAGAATCTAATTATTTTTTTTAACCTAAAAAAAATTAAGTTTTTGTACACTGATTATGTTTTTATTTTTGTAAATAATTTAATTTGCATACTTCTGACAAGAAATTAGTTAGATTATTTCCAATTGCATGTATAAGAGAAAATTAAAACTAAAAAGGATTATCGAATATATTTTATTTCTTTTACTATAAAAAAGAACAAGGAAGAAGAAATAAGAAGAATAGTAAATTTTTTAAGAGGCAAGTAACGTGGTGACCAACTAAAGTATAATAATGTAGGTAGATTAAAAAATTAAAATGAATGTAGTACTAATTAATATGTTGGTGTGGAATGTGGATTAACCAATTATATTCAAAAGTCCAAGTGGAGTGGAACAATTTTATTTTAAACTTAAATTACATAAGTGGGTGTTTACGGACAGGGAGTTGTTAGGTACAGGCTCCGTACGTTTGAGTGTAATTGCACTCCAATTTCCAAATTAGCCACGTTAAAAAAATCTCGATCCATTTTCTACGATTTGAGTTGGATTATAAAATTGTTTCTTTTAGAAGGGATTTTAACTCACAATCTCGTGGTTAGAGGTATATGTTCATTATCGCTGAACTGCGCTCGCTTTGACAAAAAGTATATAGAGTTGTTATATTTGTTTAAATTTATTTCATTCAATAATTTGTTGTTGATTATTTATTCTATAGTGACTTTTAAAACTATTTTTTCTTTTTAAGTTTTGGAGTGTAGTTTTTCACCATATAAATAAACGTGGACTTAATTGAGATGTTGATTCAATGTTAGAAATATATAAATAAGTGTTTAAGATATTATTATTTACTTTTTTCTAGTATACAATACCTTTGAATAAGTGACTCAAATAATTCAAACCAACCCAACGAACATTGAAATTTCTTTAGTAGAAATTTATGGTTACATTTTAAGAAATTTAGTGAATTAAGTATCATGATAAAATTATGACCGAAAGAAATGAGATATAAATGAAAACGAAGGACCAAAATGACCACTTTTACATGGACTCAAATGGAAGTTTATTGAAAATATAGAGACTACAACGGGCGTTTTGAAAGTATTATAAACACTGCAATAAACTCAAAGCCGAAAAAATTGGACCCAAAATAGTATTTGAACCTAGAAGAATAGATATGACAAGTCATGTGAGATAGTAAATAATATGAATGAAAATCTGACCTAACCAACTCTAAAGTATCAATAAAAGCTAGTCTCTTTGACAGATTTTCTCCCTAGTAACAAAAATAAAATTTATAGTAAAAATAATTAATGTGTCTTAATGTTGAGATGTACTAAATAAATATTGGTTAAGTATGTCTTTTCAAATAAAAAAAATTATGTATTTTATTTTTACATACAAAGTCTCAACTAACTCGAGCATATAGCAAATGGTTAAAGTGTTTAAGTTTGAATCCTCTTTGTGATACAGTACTTTTAAAAAATATATATTCAAAATCCTATAAATATGATCGAATGATTTGAGTATTATATTAACTCGTTAATTGTTTGACATGTACGATTAATGATAATTAATTGGTAATGGTAATTGCATCAAGAAGGATTTTGTATTCCCACTCCCACATGTTAGATTTCAAGAAATTGGGGTGGGGAAAAAGTATATCTTTCATATTCTATATGCATGAAAAAAATCTTCTTTTTCTAATTTCAATTTGTATCTATTTTATGGAAAAAAAATGCATTAAAGTTAATTTAAGTTCAAAGTCTAGAGAGAACAATATCATTCAAACAAAAGTACTTTAGGAAGTTTCCTCTGTCATTTTCTATCATTTTGATCCATCTCCACCTCCACTTTTGAAAAAGAATAAAAAAAAAAAATATTGTGTAATTTGGGTTGGCATCATCACAAAGATGTCAAAAACCATTTAGTTTTCACTTGATTTAGTTTTCAATGGATGATGATTATATTGTAAATTATTCATTTTTTCATTATTATTATTATTTATTTGTTAGAATCAATATAGTAAGTTTTCAATTTCATTAATAGTCCTATTAAACTTACGAAATCATTACAATTGAACCGTTAAATATTGSGACTTGCAAAAACCACCGAAAACTATAAGAATGGTTTCAAATCAAATTCTTAAACGATAAAATTTATAGAATTTGACCTAATTAGTCTTTTTTTCAATTCTATAAAATTGAAAATTATAACGCAGGATTAATGATGAGTCGACCTTTTGATTCTAGAAAATAAAAAATTGTTGTAAAATATTTGTGTTTGATTATAACGATCTTATAGTTCGAGGGTTTGATTGTAATATATTTATAGTTCATGGTCGTGGTTCGTGCATTTTACAATTAAAAGTTTTAATTGCAACATTTCAAAAGTTTGAGGTATCAAATTAAGGTTTACTCTATAGTTTAAGAATGCACTAGAAATTTTTCTCACCTCCCAATCTTGATCTCAACCATTTTTTTCATAGGAAAACAAGCGAGCAGAGTGAAATTACGATAGGCCTTAGAGAATCACTCAAGGAGCTGCTACGCCCGTCCACTCGCGGCACAGATGAGAAAAAAGRCTATTTATGGTCCCCACTGAACCTAGGCACGATACGCCGCCTCTCAATCTATGTCTCTTACACTCAAGCTCACCTTGCTCTCTCTCTGTACATAAGGAAGAGAGCCCTCTCTTTCTCTCTAAGTAAGTCGAACTTTCCTKGCAAACAACTCCTCATGACAATTCGATACACGCTCCAAATAAACTAGACTTTCACTCTTGAGATCACCCCTCTTCTATTTTATTTGCTCCATACCTATCTACTCCCAATTTGAATTCTAATTTAAATATTAGAGTGCATTCAGCAGAGTATTATCGTGCAAGATTTTTGTGTGTGTGTAATCCAGAGCTAAAAAAAAAAGGCTTTTGTAAAGAGTCGTGTGACATCTATGTGAGCTCGCTCAAAAATCAACCTCAACAATTAACCTTTTGAATCTATAAATTTAGGGGAGCAAATTAAAAGAAAAATTACAAAATAATGTGAGTCATGTTTTAAAAATTGGAATAAAACTAAGGGTAGTGGTGTTTCATGTGGAGGACACGAGATTTCCACACGAAAAGTTAGAATAATAATAATTCTAAAATTAAAAAAGATGACAAGTGGATTCCACTTTCGTGTGGAAGCCACAAATGCTTTTGGTTCCATATATTGGCCTTCAAATAAAATAAAATCAAAAGCCCTTCCACTCCATTTTCTTTTKCTCTTATCAATTAATTGATTATTTTCAAATCTTTTCATTTTCTAATGCCATGGCCAAGTATTGTAATCGAAATAATATATTGCAATCCTTATCTTAATTTCGAGGACGTGATGCAATTTTTACCTCCTAATAAGTTTCCTTTGAAGAATCGTTTTAAGACAAAAAAAAAAAAGTATTATTTACTAGTTCGATGAATTATAAAATGTAGGCCTAATACAAAAATTTACGGGGCTTAAAAGAAATATGAAGGTAGAGCTTAATTACTGTTGAAATTTTTAAGTTTTGAGCTATTTATTCAATTGGTTGATCGAGCTTATGTTGTGTATGACTTGACTTCCACTAAAATTAACTAGAGAGGTTTTTTTTAAAGTTTATGTAGTCTTTTTGTTAAAATGAACGAGTGAATAAAACATAATTTAGCTATTAGGTAAAATTTACAACAACAGTCTAAATCTAAGTCTTAATTAAGTATCATGATATAATATTTCTCACATATCGTCTAAGTTGGTAAGAGTAGTTGGACCACTAGTACTTGTCCACTTTTTGCAACCACTGTGGTTGTGGAGTTTGTATATTTACCAAACCTTAAATTTGTCACGCCTTTAAATTTACCATTTTCTTTTAATCTCATTTTTAAAATAGTTGTGACCTTGGTAAAGACTCGAGATTAAAGTTATTAATCATGTTGAAGTAATTACTTATAAACTCATGATTTTTAAAAAGAAAGTAACTAATTCATTGGTTTTTTAAAATTAAAGGCAAAAGAAAGGAGGAAACTACACCAACCATACATCTAATTTTCGACTAAATAATGATGACATAGTTTATTTTATCTCATTTATTTAATAATTATTTGCCTCTAGTAATATATGGATATATAATTTGAGAAGTGAGCCTCTACTAATAATTGATCTCTTTTGAATTTTTTCCATAAGATGTTTTCTAAGTTTACAATGAAAAATTATAGTACAAAGTAAATCTTCACTATTCACATTTCTCATTGGAGAAGAAAGACAATGCCTTTATTATTCCTTAACGATCTCCAAGACGGCGCCGTTTAAGAGGAGGAAAGGGACAAAAATTTTCAAATTATTCATTTTTATTTTTTGAAAAATGGTTGCTAAAATGTAAATTAAAATTTTAAAACTAATTTTCAAATATCTAGATTTCTAAAGTATTTTTAAAAAGAGGGGAAAAAAAAGAAGGAAATTACAAGTTTATTTTTTCATTAAAAAAACAGAGTATAAAAAATATTTTGTTTTTTTTTTAAATGTGAAGTTAATCCATTTTAAAATCAAGGATAGGGAAGCATGATAAATCTTGGATAAAACCCTCCAAATCCCAACCTCCTGTTTTCAAATTTTCTTGCAGCTGACTTTGGCAATTATTTCCAAAAATGTCCTCCACCTTAAAGTTCATCTCATTAGTATAACTGAAGCAACAATTATTGAATCGATCACTGTTGTTGTTGCTGTTTTCGATATTTTCTTTTATATCTATTGATGGAACCTTAATCTCTTCGATGTCGCCATTGCCCAGCGGAGGAAGATAAGAAAAGTCACATAAGTCTCGAACTTCCTTAGGTTCTAATACTCTTTTGTAATCCACACAATACCCCTCCTCCGTTGTGCCACCAACCATATCCAATAATAGAGGGAATGGGTCATAAGGGATATAGTTGTTTTCGACAAACAAGGTTGGAGGCATGGATGCTAACGATGGAAAAGATGAGTTATCCATGCATGTGTCGTTGATGATGTTGTCGTGTTCATGCATGGGAATGATGTTTTCAATTATCTCTCCAAAGCTGCAATTCCTAGGTTCATGTGATTCACTAGGGTTTGGGGAAGAGTTGCTGCGGTTCTTCAATCTTTTTTTCAATGTAGAGTTCCAAAAATTCTTTATTTCATTATCCGTTCGTCCAGGAAGACGTGCGGCTATTTGAGACCACCTAATCAATATAAAAAAAGAATTGATTTAATAATACATTTCGCGTAAAGTTTAATCAAAAGAAATTAAGAATTCATGTCTAATATAACAACTAAATGATTAATTGGTTTCAATGATATGTTTTTTCCTTTGTTCTTGATTTAAGACCAAATGATGAAGGGATTATTGTATTAATTATTTTGTACTCAATGTTACAAGGAGACCTATTAATCACAAGTATGGCCCATATTTTGACTTTGATCATAATCAATATCTCATCAATAGACCCTACTCGAGGTTTTTTTTTCTTTTTTAATATTTGACAATTGTTATATTAAAATTAATATACAAAGTAAGTATTTTCTCCCATTTCTACGATATGCAAAAAAAAAAATGCAGGTATATTAACATGCAAAAATATTTTATAATTAATATGTGTTTTATTCAATTTTGGGTGTGAATATATATATATATATATATATATTTTTTTTTTTCTAGTCAATATCTTACACTAAGAATTAGACTGAGGTAATTAGAATTAGGGTGAAGAATAACTTTAATTAAAAGACTAGTATAGTTATTTTGAAGAGAGAATAAAATAATAAAAAAATTAAATAATTTGTCAAATAATTCTCTATTTTTTTTAAATACTACGACAAAAAAAATAGGTATCTTTAGCCACGATAGTAATTACTAGTAATAATTTTAGTATCAAGCACTAATATCCATAAGTGGTATATTATTTTTAGTTTTTAAACAATGTACTTATTTACATTTTATTCAAAACTCCAATTTTAGTCCCCATAAAATATAAAAAACGCATATTCGATATCGAAACATAAAATTCAAAGAAAGTATACCGGTTGCCCAGAAGAGAATGGAAATGGGCGATAAGGCGCTCCTCTTGGGGGGAGAAGGCGCCACGTTTGAGGTCGGGGCGGAGGTAGTTAATCCAGCGGAGGCGGCAGCTCTTACCGCAGCGGAGGAGGCCGGCATTTCGGGCGATGTCGGTCCAGCAGCCTTGGCCATTGGTAAGCATGTATGTCATGAGCTTCTCGTCTTCCTCCGGCGACCAGAGGCCCTTTCTCAGGCGGCTGTTGGCGGATTCCGGCTTCCTCATTTTGTTCTTTAGGATTGTGGTTTATTTTTAGCCCTTTTTGGTGTGTTTTAAAGTGAAATGTTATTTATATATAATGTTGTGAGAGTGCTGAGAGAAGGCTTGATGTTGCAGTAACGGTGATGATGATTGTGATGGTTGTGGGGTTGCTTAAAATGTCATTCTATGACTAAATGTCTCTCTATAGAGAGAGGATATTTTTTTTGTGTTGGTTGGTTGCTAGGTGGAGTGGAGAAAACGGATTGGAGGGGGACCTCTCCCTCTATGGATCGGGAGAGAGGGAGAGAAATTGTTCGAGGAGTTGGTTGAAACAATGTGGCTGACGGTTTTATATCTATATCGTTAGATGTATATGAGGTGAAGTTAGAAATTGTATTTAGAATCTAGATCGAAAGATTATTAAAGGGTACTGAATAGGATTTTGATCGACCAACAATTATGGACAGCCATAAGGAGAGTAACCAAATAGTGGCAGCTACATTGAATACTTTTTTCAAAATGAAAAGATAGACATAGAGAGAAACGTGAGAGATAAAAGAGAGATAGAGAGAGAATTAGAGTTTCTTGAGGACTCAAGAAAACATATAATTTATAGAACAGATCTATTCAGTTAACGTCGTAAAGCTACACATCATTTTCACAATGATGCAAATTTTACATTATAATTTCATGCAAATTTTACATTACAAAGTTCTAACTCTTTACACATATATGATCTTTTAACTCTAGAAATTTGATAAAAGGACCAAAATTAGGGGAAATTTTTAAAATAATATTTAGTGTTTCATACATATTTTTTGAATTTATAACAAATTAAGTGGGAGAATTGTATGTTCTCTCCTTCTCTAAACTCTACTCCCGTAGTAAAAAATATAAAATATGACACTACCCCTTAATTATCATAGGCAAAGCGAAGAAGGGAGGAGGACAACAATTATCATTTCTTTTAATCTGTCCTTCCTAAAAAAATATATATATAATATTTAAGATTTTGTAATCCTATATATAATGTTAAAATACGAAATTTTGTCATTCCTTTAGCGTGGACAATTTGAACTTATAACTTTTTTGATATATTTTTTAACCAATTTAATTATGCTGAAGTTACCTTTTTCAATATAGATTTAAAATGTAGTTTTTAACTTTTCTTTTTCATACCTTTCTAATGGTGTAGAATCATCAGCCACATTGTTCCAGTCCCTCAAATACTTTCCTAGACTCGTACCCGAGAAAAGAGAGAAAGAGGGGTTGGTCTTCTTGTCTTTGACTCAATTTGTTGTCTTTTGAATGCAATATTTTTCTTCACTCACAAGGTAATCATCATCTTTTGTGCAAAACATTTTTGCTTCCACTTCACATAATCAATCATCTCTCTCTCTCTCTAGCTAGCTTTCTCTCTCTTAAGTTACACGTGAATTTTAAGTATAAAACCTAGAGAGAGAGAGAGAGAGAGAGAATTTTAGTTCGGTATGGCGGTGGGAAATAGTAGAGCTAGAATTTGCATATATTTTCTACATTTTAATTTGTTTGGTTTTGAAAATATGTTTCATTAGAGAGAGCTTTAAGCTTTAAGCTTTAATTATTCAAACCAACAACCCTATATTATATAACATACTCTTTAACCAAATTATTATGCCCAACTACTAAAGCAAATCAAACCCCTCCATTATTATTGTTCAATCAAATTAAATAATATATATATATATTTTTTCCATTTATTTTTATAACTAATTAAACACATTCTTTCTTATCCCCAATAATTAATGAAGAAAAATATTTGTATTGAAAACTAGTTTAGATTCTCCCCATTGAGAAGTAATTTTTTTTAGAAAAGTAATTTTAACATCGGCTTGTTTGGAAATTGATTTAAAAATAGGTTTCTAGAAAATTTTATGAAAAAAAAAAGTGTTTTCGAACAAATTTAGTTCTTTTTCTTTTTAATTACAAGTGGGTGAACCATGCTTGCAACATATATAATAATAATATTAACTTTTACGAGTCAATATTCCATCACAATTCTTTAAAAAAAATTGATAAAAAAAATCAAAATAAAATCCTTGATCTTCAATTTCTTAGAATAACTTTTACTTTCATATTTTATAGATTTTGAATTTTTCTCTCGAGATATTCTACAAATTTACTGATGAGATATTCAAAAGAGGCATATATGTGCATAAACTTTCTAATAATTGGTGAAGTTGTTTTTGAGAAATTACTTTTTAAAATTTTTAATGGCAGAGGCTTCGAAAGCAATTAATGACAGACCAATCATAAGGTGAAAAGTTCAAAGTACCAAAAAAAAAAAATGGTACAAAGGAAATAAAATAAAAAGTAAAATAAATGATAACAAATAAAAGGGGAGGGATTTATGTGATAGCATCTTCGGTATGCAATCCAAATTCTATCTTTTATTTTCACATTCACGGAATTAAATGGATTTATTATATTTTCCACTGTTTTCCAATTTTTAATTTTAATTAACCATTATTTTCGATTTTAAATTTGAAAATTTAAAATATAGAATCACATTTAAAAAAGAGAAGAACTTTGATAAATATTATCTTACAAACTCATTTCATTTTTGTTAAAATTAAAACATTGAAAATATAATACATATTTTTTAACAGTAAATATAATATGTTATAAATTATATAATATTGTAAAATAATAATTCTACAAAATTTATAACAAAAATGTTAATAAATTGATTAATATTATTTTAGGTTGAAGTAAATATTTAATTACCAACCACTACCAATTTACAAATATAATACTAAACTTGAACAAATTTTTAAGATAAAAGATTCAATTTCCAAATTTGCTAGTAAACACATCTTCGAAAATAATGAAAATAAAAATACATCTCTATTTTTTATTGAGTCATTGAATCCTTAGATTTCTGTTTTCAGATCACTAATTATAAGTTATAAAAAAGGGTTTAAGAAAAGTACCAAATATCTTTTTATTTGTGGATTCACCAAGAAGATTTTGTTCATCCTCTTTAAAAGGTTTTTATTTATTAATAACTTACTTTTTCTGTATTGTGTTTTCTAAATACATCCTAATCAAGTTTCAAATTAAAAAAAAAAATCCAATTTTCCTTTTCAATTTTGAGATTTGGCTAAAATTTCAAATGCATTTTTAAAAAGTAAAATAAATAAATAATGGTCAACAAATTTAATTTCAAAAAACAAAATAAAATCATGACCAAAATTTAACTATTATTATTGTTATAAAAAATGACCCAAAAAAAAGATTAACTAGTTGTGTTAGTTTTATTGTTTTATGATCTAACATGGACGTTTGTTTTCTGGTTTTTTTTTTTTTAATGATACATAAAGTAAAAGAATAAATTATACAAATTTGAGTTTATCACTTGTCTTTAATCAGTAAATTCATGAATCCACCTCTTCAAATTAATTCAATCTTCCCATAATTGTTCCACGTGGATATAGTTATGAAGACAAATCAACTTATTTGCATATATAGGGGCATTGCCCTTCATGTAAGATCAAATAAGAAAAGAAAATACCAAAGTCTCTCTTTCATGGATGGAAAATGGTAGCTGAGAGCAGGAAGATGGCGTCCCCAGAGATAAAAATTACCCTTCTCAGAGGCTGTCGAGGTTAGCGGGTTCTCGCAAGAATCTCTCCATCTGTCGTGCTCTGGTCTTAATCGACATGTCGAACACTTTCTCGCCAAATTCTACGACTAGACCGCCGAGTATGCTTGGATCAATCTGGTATATGCAAAATTAGATGTGCCTGATGATAAAAGGGTTTAGACAGACAAAATAGCAGAGAGTGTAATTTCTAAGTACCTTCTGTTCAAGCTTCACCTTCTTCCCTTGTCCAATAATATCCTGCAAGGTCTCTTTCAGTTCTTTCTCCTCTTCCGGAGGGAGGGGCTGTGTAGAATGAAGTCATGCAAAGTATCAAATAATGTAAAACAGAAATATTTTCATGCAGTAATTCCATACTTTCAGTGGGTTGATAAGGAAAAAAAATCCAAAATTGTAGTAATAATGATGTTGTATATCTTTATCATCCAAATATGCCTTCAACTACCATGTTGGGTTTTCTGAGCTATACATTTCTGTAAGATATTAAAAAAAATGTAAGACGATACATTCATCTCCCAAGTAATACCCACCAAGTCTCGTATCACACAGTAATGCACATTAACATTCAATACTGGTTCAAGTCAAGATGATGCAATAGATACATAAAACTGGATACCCAGCAAAAGAATTGGGTGTATGTTTCCCAGTACAGAAGAAAAAAATAAGGAAATAATTGCAAGCTGAATGGGTTCAAGCCATGGTCGCCACCTCCCTAGGATTTAATATCTTACGAGTTACCTTGTCAATCAAATGTAGTAGGATCAAATGGTTGGCCCGTGATTAATCAAGGTGCGGGCAAGCTGGCCCAGACACACGGATATCAAAAAAATATATATATTACAAGCTGAAAACCAACATATTATGTCCAGTGAACGATATCCATATGCAGCCGGATTGGGCAAGGGGGCAAGAGGAAAAAGAGCGAAGTAAGGATAGGCCATATTACAGTTTATAACCATGGGTAGATAGATGAATTTCATTATAAGAGTGGGAACTTACAATAACCGTAGTCACAATGGCCTTCACCTCTCCTCTATGAGCCATTGTCAACTCCAGGAACCTCTTTGCAATGCTATCTATGTATCTCAGCCTTCCATTCTCAGCCAATACAACTGAATAGGAGCATGATTACAAAATGGTGTAACAAATAGCTTGCTTTTTAGCCACAAAGCTCTTTTCTTCAATTAAAGGAAAGAATATCAAGATTCAAACGTAGTGAGTAGCAGTAATACCCAAAAAGTTCTTTATTACTTCTGAAAATTTAGCCGCAGCAGAAATATCATTAATAGCTTTAACCCTAGTATCTGCAGGCACTGAGAGATCTCTTGTGAACTGAGAAAAAGTGGCACTTCTCTGTGAAGCCGCAACAAGGTCAAGAAGCTCAGTCTCAACTTTATCCAAGACATTAGCTTTTACTGCTGCAAGGTACAAAGCAGAGGCATAGTTTCCAGATCCCCCAAACAAAGCCAGTGGAACCTATAATATCATAAATAGAAGAGAGCAAAACGAGATTACCCAAATTACATGCCAATAATATATCAGAAAAACATATGATAGTGACATGTATGCTTTGCATTTCAGTAAACCAAAGATGAAGAGGACTAGTAAGTAAAACCGGTGAAACTTTCAAGTCCTAGTCGAGGCCAGCAAATTCAATTACCTTGACTTTTTCCTCATTTTTCGTGGATGCAGTTGAATAATTCCTAGAGACCTGCTGCAGTAGCAAAACGAATATTCACATCAAGTCAATAAGAGGTTGATGTTGATTTGATAGTTTAGAGCTGATAGATAAATGGTGTGATACAATCACAGGTTAAAACAATTATAAGCATATGAACAAACAGAAACCTCACATCCATGAGGTTGAAGCAGACTATAATTTGCACCTACCAAAGTGAAACATCCAAGATGAAGACTCCAAAAAATTTACATAATTTAATTCATGATGGAGATGCAATGAAGAACATGGAATTTCTTACAGGTGGAAGCAGGAGTTTGACAATCAACTTCCATAAATCTTTTACATTGGGGTAATATAGAAGATGAGGAGACAGATTGACAGATTCATTTGGTCACTAACAAGAGCTCTTGCCTATACCTTATTTGGGATTAGCTCTAGATAGAATCTAGAAACCAACTCATTTAGGACCTATGACAAAGAGTTCGTGCTAGACTACGGAGGAATTTCCATTTGGCCAATTGTGGGAGGCTGACCTTAACTCTCTTAGTCAAGATGCGCACATTCACAGATAAATATATAAAAAACAAAAATTAAAAAAATAAGTCCTCCTAAAACTAAAGAAGGAGGCTCCAATCCAGCAAAATAACACCTAGATCTAATAATACATAATACTTAACAACCAACCCCACATAGAAGTATTAAATCTAATAATCTCCTCACCATGCTCCCTAGATCTCCCTACCCCTAAAGATTCTATTATTAGGCTCAATCAATCAATGCCCCCACAAAATAGCAAAATAACACATGTACCACAAAAAACTCTCCCTTGCTCAGGAGGATACAACCTCCTCCATCAAACCTTGACAATCCTTGTTGTGCTGCGAGCCCACAACACCCCAAGCAGCTCAAAGAATCACCCCTAGATATCCTGAGCAGACTAACAATACCAAAAGAAAGATGGAGATAGATTTTGGGAATGAAAACAATCAAGCCTACAAGCTGAACTTGAGAAGGAACTCGTTTGGCAAAGAATTGATTAGATGAGTTCAGCATGTTTACAAGTATGGAAGATGTGGTCATCAATCAAGTTGTCAACAGAGTGAAATGGAACTCATCTGGCAAAGAATTGATTAGATGAATTCAGCATGTTTACAAGTATGGAAGATGTGATCATCAATCAAGTTGTGGACAGAGTGAGATGGAATTCATTTGGCAAAGAATTGATTAGATGAGTTCAGCATGTCTACAAGTATGGAAGATGTGGTCATCAATCAAGTTATGGACAGAGTAAGATGGAGCTCGAAGGCATAGATTAGAGAGAAGAATGATGGAAATCGAATCGTGTTTGTGCATATCAGGCTATCAGCAGTGCTTTCCCTCAACGTCTCAACTTCGAAGGTGGACAACTTTATTATATTTTTAGTTGGAGATGAAAGACCCCAAAATGGTGCAAATTTACTTTTGGACATTGATTTAGAAGAAGCCTGAATATGCAAGCAGGACAAATCGCAAAGGAAAACCCCCCTCTCAATCTATTTCACCCCAAATTCGTGTGAACTGCAGAAAAATGGAGAAACAATCAACCACTTGTTTTCAAAGTCTGTTTTATTCATTGCAAGACTGAGTCGGCTAGAAAAAGTCAGGATTTCCTCTATCAAAAGTTTGGTTCAATGTGGTATGCCCCTAAAAAATACGTGTTTTGCTTCCAAAGGTCCATTTTGATCAGTGGCTTCTCCGTAAAGGCAGAGTATTTCAAAGAAATGTTGCAAGACTTCTTGTAGGCTATTTGGATCCACAGAAATAATAGGATTTTCAATGACATATACAAGGACTTCTGTAATTTCTCGGCGAATGTTTAGAACACAACCTATAATTGGAGAACTTTACACAGAGCTGTTTGTAACTACACCCACTTAAATTAACTTACATTGAAGGTGTTCTTTTAAAACCGTCTTCTTAGCAAGGGGAAGTCTTATCTCCATGGTCTTTCAAAAACGACGCCTTCCCTTTTAATGAAATTTTCATGTCGCATTGTTAAGGAAAAGAAAGAAAAGGAAATTCAATAGTCATCATTTTTAAAACTTGCATTCAAATGTCAAATCATATCCTTAACGTCGATGAGGGATTCGCAAAATCACACGCGATCAAGAAAAAATAAACTGAAACCATCGGCATCATTTATACCAGAAATCCCACTACTCATTCTAAATTATTGACGCTTTGACGCAGAAATCCCAGAAATCAAACAGACACCAGGAAAATCAAAGCCCATATTTAGGAACGGATGTTAGGCAGACGAAGCCGGGAGAAACTAAGAACACAAAAAAAGGAAATAGATTAGAAAACCGTGCACTCTTACCACGGAGTTGGTGGGGCAAAGTAGGGATCTTAGGAGAGCAGTTCTCTGAGTCTGAGACTCCGATTTCAGAAGCTGATTGAAATGGGGGATGATCGATCTCATGCGCCCAGCCAAAGCCATTTCAGAAAGGGGAAAAAAACCCTAATTTCTCCGATTAACGATGGAGAATACTACAAAGGGGAGAAAATTTCGCGAATTGAATACTCGAGGATGATCGAGCTGAGAAGGAGGACAAGCACGTGAATTGCACGTGTCTTTGTCGTGGGTCCGGAAAAACCATGCTTTTGTATGACACGTAGGACGCTACAACCAGAGAATTTCTTGCCACGTGGTGCAAGCCCAGTACCAGCATTTATTTCCCAAGCTTGGACCATGTAGAAACATTTTTAAAGGCTTTTTTCTTTAAATTTATTTTAGGTTTTTTTTTAAGGAAATATTTTAGGTTAAATTAAAAGTATAGTCTTTGAGAGTCTGAAGTTTAAAAGATGCTTTAATGAGTTTCTCAACTTTTAATTTTGTGTTTAATAAACCTTGAATTTAAGGTATCAAATAATTTCTTGAATGTCACTTTTTTTTTTTGTCTAATTAGTCCTTGTCCTTGACATATTTGCATCTCATAAGATCATGAAGTTTGAATTTTATGTTTAATAGATTCACAACTTTAGACAATGTCGAATGTGTCAACGAAAATTTATTTGACACAAATTCAAAGTTCAGTGACCTATTAGACACAAAATTAAAAGTTTAAAAATCTATCATACAAATTTTAATGTTTCAAAGACCTATTAAATACGTAATTAAAAATTTCGGACCTATTGGACACTTCTGTCTAAAGTCTAGGAATCTATTACACAATCCGAAACTCCATGAACTAAACTTGTAATTTAACCTTTATAAAAAAAATTATTTTCTTTTATTTTGGAAAAAATGCACTTTTGATTTATTATTTTGAGTACGATGTTGCCCTAAGACTTAAAAAAGAAACACTTTAGTGTCAGATTTTAAAAATTGTGTTTTTTAAAAAAATAGTTCTTTATGGTCCCTACACATAATTAAGTATTGCATTACAAATGCATGAACATGAACATCCATGTTTATACGACCTAAGGTCGGCAAGTTCCGTGTAGACATAAAAGGGAAAAAAATGTGAATTTATAACTTGAGGATAAATATGCCTAACCACTCGAGCACAGTTTAAATAGATATATTTTGTCGTATTTTAAATTATATATGTTTATAAAATCAAAAAACAATATCATATAGCATCAATATGTGGAGATACTTTGTCTTAAAAATATATAGAGAGAGATGCTTCTTCACATTCACAACACATAGCGTTCCTGAAAAACAAAGCTGTATTGTAAAAAATAGATCTTTCTGTTTCTGTTCATTGAAACTCAATTCAAGAAAAATTGTTTTGTGGCTAAATACATGAATCTTGATTTATCAACAAGGAACCAGCAGCAGTGTGGAGCTTATATGATGACAGACACTATGGCTGTAAAGGACACTAAGAAGAATGAAGAACACAAAGAATGAAAGAATAATCTGCAAAATATGCCTCTTTGGCTCAACCTTCATGGAGTTTTTTCTTTAGTTAGAAAGAGTGCAAGGCTTGAGAAACCAAAGAACATCCAATGCTCTTGCTTCTTTTTCACCAACAGCAGAAGAAATGGTTTTAACTCTCTCCGCAGATTTTTCTTTATCCACTTCTACAAGAATTTCCTTCTCCTAATAGAAAAACACATACTATATTGAATCAGACTAGTTCAACTTCATCTAACTTGAAAGGAGCAGCAGTTATGAACTTATTAGTTGCATTGCATACCTTTAATCTAGATTTTGAAGCCTGCGAAGGGGTGATTTTGTTCGGTCCACGTACGTTGGAAAAGCACTGGGGAGAAGGCGGATTGGTTCGGATTTGCAGCACGTTATCATCTCTTTTGTGCCGCACCTTCTCCAAATCCAGAGAGATTGGGATGTTTTCGCTGTCTGCTGCAGTTTTGCTGCATCAAACATGGTACAAACTCATCATTGGAATTGGAAGTTCAATGTTTAAATTTGGTTGAGTTCTGTATCAGAGGCTGAAAATCAAAATGGGGATACCGATACTTTCTTCTAATGGCTTAGGCACATGATTCACAGACACATAATGAAGAAATTGGCAAGCAGGCACTGCATAAATTGAACCAAAAATAGGAATATGGCTAACAAATTACTCACATATTGTTCTTCAGCTTATGTTTTACACTGTTACTAATAGCACCATCAGATTTCTCTTTACCGAGTTCCCCGAATGGCTTCCTCTCTTTCTCCTTCCTTTCCAGATTATTTGAGGGAACCTCCTTCTCTATATTTTTCTTCTCAGCCTCTACACCATTCTCCGGAGCCAGTTGCTTAGCATTCTCTCTCTCCCTGACCCTGGTTGCCATCCTCTTTATTTCATTGCAAAACTCTGTAATTTGATTCAGAATATCTCGCCCTGCAAATAAATTTCTTGCTGAAAGTGTGCTTTTCAGCGACGGAGTTCCATTGTTCTTCTGTTGACCATCATCCATCAATGGCTTCTTCTCAGTGCTTGATTTGATCTGTGTCTTGGTGGAGGCAGTTTTGGCTGCGTGAGTTTGAGGCGTTGAAAAATTGGGATTCTGATTCTCATTGTTTGAAGACTGAAGAAGCCCCCTTCTCTTCAACCTTCCATCTCTAAATTACCCAAAAGAAAAATTAAGGGGAAAAAAAAGGTTCAGATCTATTTGGAATGAAGAAATTTCAACTATGAAGGATGCTAAAACTGAAACTGGTGGGTAATTACAGTACCTTCCTATCCGATCACTGGATTGAAGAGTTTCAGAGCTATAACCAGGGCTTGCAAGCTTCCAAAAAAAGCAAGCGATCAATTTAGAAAGAATAGGAAAAAGAAATTAAGAAGAAAAAATGATGTGCCCTAATTTGGTTTGATTAGCTCAACTCAGCTTAAATTAGAAATTCTATCCAAATCCGCAAAATCTTGACATTCTTTCTACGCATAACTTTTCTTGGCCACTAAACAGCACAAAACCAAAGAACAGAAGAAATCGATACCTTCGAAGGAGTGACACGAAGCAATTCTTCCGCTGTCTTTGGATGCTTACAATCTACAGAGACAAAAAATAAACCAAAAACCGATTACCAACTCTGAACCAAAAGAACTCGGAGAAAAGAGTTCAGAATTCAAGAACAGAGATGGATGAAGCGAAAAAGAAGCTCACCGGATCGACAAAACCAGGCGTCATCATCCACGGGGTCGTGGATCGCGGTGAAATCAACCCATTTGGGGGCATTGATGTGCTCGTACAATTCGTCCTCTACGAATCTCCACTGAACATTTTTCCAGTCGATTTTAGCTGGTTCCATTGGGATCGAGAAGGTGGAGATTGGAGGAGCCGAAGAAGAAGATGAGGAAGAAGAAGAAGATGTTACCGTTAAGAGTGCTGGAGAGTTCTCTGCATTTTTGTGAACGTTTTTGTGGGCAGCTTGCCGATTCCGACCGTTGGAGTTTTTTTCTTTTTTTTTTTTTTTTTACATTTTATTATTTAATTATAATGTGAATTGTCAGAGTTGTTGGGCCTTATTGATTTTGGGGCCCGTTGGGTTCGGCCCATAGATCTGCCCTTATCCATTCCCTTGAAAATTAGTTGGTTTTTAAAAATGTAAATATCTAATGTTTTATGTAACTAATTTGGAATGCACATATAATTTTTTTAAAAAAAAAATTGAAATGCATACCCAAAAAGAGAAAGAGAAGAAAAAAACTAGAAATTTTGAAATTCACTGTAACCCCCCAAAAGTTGTAAAAACAACTTGAAATTGAATAGTTACATTGGAATATGTTATAGGTGAATAACACGCGATCATCTCGCTTGGACACATGTATCCGAACCTTAGCTTGAACATCCAAAACGAGGAAGGAAGATCTGTGACAAAGCTAGTAGAGCTCCGCTCGAGTATGACTAGGGAGAAGATGCTATTAGCTCGAAATCTGCTAACATTTGTGAAAATACAATTATGTTATTGAAAAAGTTTCTTATTGTCAGCAGAAAATATGTGAAATGACAGGTACGACAACGATTCTCAATGTTCCTCTCTTATAAAAGGCATAGTCCAATCTTTTTAAAAATATGCAATCTCTTACAATTCAATTGACTTCGGCTCAATACCAACTTCTACTCAGTACTACCTTAAGTATCATAGTGTACGTGGCAAAATATCACATCAATGCAAGTTTTTGTTTCCAGGCTCCAACGAAAACTGTGTCATAGCCAAGTAAGACGTGTAACATCATCCATAAACTCACATCGACATAGTATATTAGGATTACCATTTTTTTTTCTTGGTTTCACTGTTTTAAATTACTTGAACTTGTTTTACTTGAAATTTAATCATGAATTATACTTAACTTGAATTGGACTGAAACTAAGCAAATAGTACTTATTAACTCGTAAACATTTTCTTTACTTTCTGTACTTACACATTTGTTTTTATTAATTTCAGTTCAATGAAAGAGTTTTTTAGCTTCATTTTACTTGCTAATAATTTTAAGAGACAATAAAATTCAAGGAGTGAAAACGAGTTAAATAGATTCTCGAAGTTTATCATTCTCACTGTTCCTTTTACAAAATCAAAATAAATGAGACCACATCACTAACAATTAGAATGACTAGTTTGCAACTCGAACAACTGGGTTAGATTCAAAACATCTCTCAATCTAATCTTGACTTGTCCAAAGATCCGAATATCGTTAATCACTAGAATCCAACACAGACCCCCGATTTCGAAAAATGACTATAAAACAAGCTAATCTAAATTTAAGATGATAACTAGACTTCAATCTTCAGGCGAAGAAGTTGATAAGTTGTTAAATGAGGTTACAATTTGTTTCTCTTTGGCAGAAGGCAAGTGTGGGAGGAAGATTGAGGATTAGAGTACTTAATTTTTACTTAGTTAAGTAGAGATGTACAAAATGGAGGAGAAGGCAAAAATGGAAAAGGAAGGAGAGGAGGAGCAAAATGTTAGAGCTTCCAAAAATCTACTGTCGGTTATCGCTGCCAGACGCATTCACGCCTTCGTCTCCAAACACCTCGATGTTGCAGATCGGACATATCTGACAATGACAATGACGATTTGTGAGATGAAAGGAAATTAGAAGTAGAAATGGTGGAAATAGGGAGATATAAGAAAGTCAAGAAAAGAACTGACTTTGTTTATAGTAAGCCATTTGGTTATGCATTTGTTATGGTAGAAATGCTTGCAGGGCAACTTTATTTGTTTGTCCCCTCTCTTGTACCTCATTTGGCAAATCACACATCTGCAGTCGAAACGAAACAAGTACAATCAATATTAAACCGAGATCCTGAATGTAAATACCGTACCGAGAAAGTACTAATCTACAATCAGCAACATAAGAAATAACTCCGAGAACAATCTACTGCTAAACCGAATTATTAGCGTTTTTTAATGCTTTCTAACCATGGTATTTAAGCTTGGAGATTTGTGGAATATTTGTATCATATGTTAGAGATTCGACATGGCTACACAACACACCAAGGACATCAAAGAGTATAGGTTCATTTGACAGTACTATCTCGCGTACTAGGACGGAAAAATGGATGCATATGACTCTAAGGTAAACGTATCAGAATCAAACATCATATAAAGACCGACATTGTATCCTAATTCATAGAAACTGTTGTTTAAAATGTTCCGGACCGATTACCAATAGATCATTACAAGTTATTTTGACAAGAATGTTCCTATGCCCTCGAAGTAAAGCAGATTAACCAAACATTGAGCGAGTTTACTCTAATGCAACATATGTCAAAAACCATACCTTTCCTCTGGCTTTTTTCTCGAGAAAAAGCTCGTTAACTTGCATTTCGCAGTCGGAAGCAGACTTATTTGTTCTTCAGAAAGCCCCCGACTTTGAGTTCCAACCGATTCGCCCAAGTCCAATAGTTCCTGGTAAAATCGTGTAGTAAAATGTCCAGTTATGGCTCCAGACATTCCCATTGAAGCTTTTTTCTTTTTACAGTCAAGTCCTTTGGTTCTCATTTATTCGACAGCCACACATAGTTCAAATGGTAATTTACAAAGGGAATTAGGGGCTTGTTTGAAAATTGAGCCTAAAAACTTTTTATCACAAACTGTTAAAAGTTAAAGCAATTGAGCCTAAAAGCTTCTTATGTCAGCAATAATTTTGATCAAAAACAAAAAACAAAGATGATTGATCCTTGATCTAAAACTGGTTTGGTATGAAGATTTTAAGGTTATAATGTTGTCATAGCATAATTTTTCCTCTTTCTCTCGAAATCATCGCAGTGGTCGTGGTTACTAATCGCAAATATATTACTCAAGATGGGAAACATCTTAAAGCATGAGAATCGTATGCCAAATGATCTTTTCATTCCTTCATGGAACAATCCTACAAGTCGTCATAGAAACAAGTATCGTCTAGAAAACGGAATGAGAATCTCTATCATATTGTGTTTCTAAAAGATAACGTTACCTCATAGGTCATGTGATCAGGATCAATCTCATCTTGCCATACAACCTGAGGAGACGAACAAAATGAGATGGATTCGATGCGTTTTGAACTAAAAGAGGTGTATTCTCAAGTGTAAAAGCGACAAAAGTTAAAGTTGAGGACAAAAGTAATTCAATCAGCCACTTGATAACTTTAGTACAACAGTATATAAACATTTGACAATCTTTGATGATAACGAGGTTATGTCCCAATTTATTAATAAACAGATACGCGTTTCGATTAAACCACAATTCGTAAGAGGAATTAGGTAGATGATGATCCTAAAACTTGTTGGTGACTTTTGTATGGAAATAAAAGAAGAGGCATATTGCAAAATCAACGACGAAGAATCATACTTGAGATGTACTGGTCTCCTCCTCTTGATGACTGAAATCACCTGCAAAACAGGAAAACAAAGTAAAAAGCTGATGATAAGATCTGCAACTATGCCGTTCTTCAAACATTTTCGACAATTAAACTCGACAGTTTGCAAAAAAAAAAAAAATCAACGTTATCATTTGAACAGACTTGGTATCATTATCAGATCTGCCAACACTTACATTCTTCTTCGGGTATAAAATGAGCATCTACAACATCCTCCTCCACCGATGGTGCATACGTCGGTTCAGGATTTTCGACAGTCACGGTTGAAGGATACTCCCACCCCCTTTCACCAATATCCATTGAAGGTGGCAAATGATGACTTTCCTCGGAATGGCCGTAATATGTATTCCCGGGATCGGATACTCCAAATTTGTAACATTGCATATTCATCGACCAGTATGCATTTCCCTAAGAACCAAAGTACCATACATTTCCAATACTAATTACTACCAACTTACAAGACCTGAGTTCAAGTATCGGAAAATTTTCATCGTTTTTCATAAAAGTTTCGACTTTTCGGAATACCTGATCAAGCAATGGCCCAGCATTGCCATAAGCAGGTACCTGGTGGTGATGGAGCCCTTCAAAGAAATCCATAAAGCTCTCTGTCGTCGTGTACGGGAAGCCGGTGTCGATATAATGTACTTCCATTTGTCTGTCCTCATTCATCTTAAGCAGCAAACAGCACTATAATTCGCCAAATTTAACTGCAAAAAAGTACAAAACAGAAGAATACATCAAACAAAAAATGAACTTGAAACCTACATTGTCAAAAGCTTTGGAATTTTAAGCAAAAGGTGAAGTTTTTCTACAAGTTGTACAAGACCCAGAATGGATTTGTCCACAATCTGTTTGGTTGCTGAGAAAACTTGGGGAAAAAGCAGAGAAAGCTGAGAAAATTTGTAGGTTTACAATTTTTTACGTTCCAATGAAATAGGCCCTAAAACACCCATCAACTCAAAAACTTGCACAAAAACCAAATACGAACTTACATTTTCTTTTTATGTACCCAAAAGGAAAACACAAGGCAAAATCCTATGGATTTTCCTTTCTGGACAACCAAACAGAAACTCCCCCAGAAAATCTCTTCACGCTCTGACAGAGGAAAAATCTGTGGAATTAGAGAATGTAGACAAATGAGCAATAAAGAAAAATAAAGATGTAAGAGAATCCTAAGAATCAGATAAATGCAGACAAACGAGCAAAAAATAAACAGGTACAGATCCCAGTATTCGTTAGAATCCTCATAATATTTAGAATAAAAACAGAGCAAAAAAGGAACAACAACAACAACAAAAAGGCTTCTCCCAAACATAAGAAACAAACAAAAGAAATTTCTTGATTCCGAGAGAGAAAATGAGGTACAAGGGAAGCTTGAGAAATGGAGGATGGACCTTTCTCTCTCACTCTAGAACTCTTTTTTTTTTCCTCCCTCTCTCTCTCTCTCTCTAGAACTCTTGGCTTCTAACAGAGTTCAGCAGAGAGAGAGATGAAAATGAAAGGAAATGGGATAATGGGTCTGTTTTTTTTTTCTTTTTTCTTTCTTCCTTCAGTTTGTTTTCTGGCTATAATCCATTTCCCATCTCTGAGTAAAGGGTGGTTTTTAAGCTGGTTGATGGGAGGGGGCTTTGAAATCTTCTTCAAATCGCCAAGTTCATATTTTTTAAAAAAGGGGAATTTTGATTTTTGGGTTTCTTTTACTTGTATATATTTCGATAAACTAAAGGAAAAAAAGAAAGAAAAGATGGTAATTTTCTCGATAAAATAAAAAATAAAAAAAGTGGTCCACCCTCCTTCTCTATGTCCATGGCTCCATTTTAATTTTATCTTATTTTATTTTCTCGCTGGCCAAACATGTTTTATGTCAGAAACAACACTATTCACGGAAAATAAAATAAAATTTACCCAAAAAGAAAACATAGATAGAGAGAGAGATTGACGTGAATTATACTGTAGCATTTCACATTTGTGATTTCAATTAAAAATGATACAAAATAATAATAATAACAAGTCCAGGAATTTCCATGGAATTTATCTCTGGTCTGTCTTGGGGATTTCAGAGATCATCAAATTTTTTTTCCTTTTTTTTTTTTTGTGTGTTCCATTAGAATCAAAATTTACCATGTTTGAGAAAAGTTTTAATGGAAGCAGCAGCAAAATTCAAGTTGACAGAGAGGATGTTACAGAGGATTAGGAATATCCGAACCCATGAAGGGAAAAATGGAAATTTTCCCGAGAAAGTGGGATGGAAAATTGTGTAATTTCAGGATGAGAAAATGGAAGAAGGGGCAAAAAAACAGAACAAAAGGCTATGTCAAATTCAATCTCGACCCAGAAAAGAAAAGGAAGAGTAAAGCCATGGGAACAGCCGGTGGAGCTGAACTGAGAGACAGGACAGCCAACCAAAAAAACAGAAAACAAAAGTTAATAAATTGAATTATATGTTTTTTGGGTACTACGTGGGAACGAGTGTTTAAATCTTGGACCTCTGGAAACAAAACAAGATATCTTAAATTATTTGTTTGCTTTCTAACTTTAAAATTTTTTCAAATGTTTAAAAATTCTAATAAACCTCTTTATTTTTAATCTCTGTGTTTAGTAAATTTATATCCTATCGTGTCAATTTGAGAATAACTGTTAAAGTATATATTTTCGATCAAAGGTCAGAAGTTCAAATTCTTAACCCCACATGTTCTTTAACTAAAAAATTTATCTACTATGTTGATTGGTGCGGATTACGTCTAAAATTAGCTTGATTGGTGCGGATTACGTCTAAAATTAGCTTGTCACATCAGTCTTAAAAGATAAATAATATACATTTTTTCTAAGTGAGATGGAGCTTCGAACTAGCAACTTTTTAGTTATAAAATTGATCTTATCTTAATCAGTTGAGTTATATACATATTAACTTAAATATTATATCATTAGTGTATCATAGAAATGTTAAATGAATTAATGATACACACGTTCTAACAAATTTGCAAGAGGTTTGAACCCCTTCGACTCTTAAGCGAATACATAGACATTTCAAGTACTAAGCTATGACAATAGTGGTCGAAGGGTAATAACTTAGAAAAAATATATAAAAAAAAAGTTCAACAATTCAATAAAAAAAATTAAAATACAAAGATGAAGTAGATATAATTATAACAGAGCTAAGCATAGCTCAACTGGTTAAAGCACATACCTTCGATTAAAATGTCGTGAATTTGAACTCCCGCTATTATATATTGCACTAAAAAAACCGGTAAAAATCTAAAAGTTTAGATAGGTGTTAGGAAAATTTTAAAATATTAGAAATAAATAAGATTAAGCAAAGTTTTATAACTAAAAATAGTAGGGGAAAAAAAGGGAGATTGTAGTACAAGTAGACCGTACAAATGGTGTGTTACAGTGGTGTTGTGAATTTTTACTTATTACCAAAACAAAACAAAGGTTCTAAAGTGTCTGATTCTTCTGATTCTGTTCTGATCTCTTGTTTCTCTCTCTCTCTCTCTCTCTCTCTCTCTCTCTCTCTCTCGTTTTGCCCTATCAAATCCAAAACCACATTCAATATTTATTATTATTTTTATTTATTTTTGTGTGGCTGTATACTGTATACAAATGTATATTAAATTTAAATTTTGTTTTGGTATATCAACATTATTTGAATTTTAAATTTATGTTAGTAATTTCACTATAATATGGTGGTTGTTAGTACTAAGATTGACATTTAATAAAAACTCTCGTTTCAAAAAAAAAAAAAATTTTGACGTTTTAAAGAATCATGAGTCGAAATAGAACAAATTTTAAAATTTAAGGTTGTCTATAATGGTCACATGAGAAATGGCACAAACACTTCAAGCTTTGAGGTATCATCACCTATCTTGAGGTCTCAAGTTCGAACCCTACATTGATCACAATGTTTGCTTAGCCCTATGACTAGTCCCTGTTGGGATTGGTGGAGATAAAACAATAGGAGAAGAAGAGGAATGAAATTGATGCTACAAGAGCCATGCTGGTCGAGAGGACAATGTCGGTGTGCGTTTTTGCTTAGTTACGTTGTTGGGATCGTAGAGTTCGAGATCTCGGATTGTAGTACACCGTCGACAATCAATTCTCGTGGATGATTGCTGAGGTTTTCATGTAATCTTAAGATTCTATTATTGAAGTTCATAGAAGTTATATGTAGCTCACTGTGGAATGAGAAAATTTTTTTTAGCGGACCAAAATAATATTTTAATATGGGGAAGACAGCTTTAAAGTGATGAAAAAAAAAACAGGATAAGATTTTTTGCATTTATTTAATGAAAAA